GCTGTTCGTATACTTCTATATACAATTAAATCCAATTTTATTTGTTGAAATTTTTGTTTACGAATATATGGTCTAAATTTAAGATATGGGCGACTCTAATGTATTAGTCTATTTGTTGCTTTGCTTGTCTTAGTAAAAAAGTATGAATATTCAGAACAAGAAAAATGTACATATTATGTGAGGTTCACTTTTTTAATAAACATCCGTGTGACAATCTTACTAATATTATAAATGCGAAAGTTTAGATGGATGGATGGATGGATGGATGGATGTTTGTTAGAGTTTGTAGACTTAACGGCTGAACGGATGTCCAGGAAATTTGGCATAGATGTAGAACATAGTCTGGAAGAACACATAGGCTACTTACTTTTGTTTTTTTTTTTAAATCCACGCGGACGAAGTCGCGGGCGTAAGCTAGTAAACTTATAATTATAGGAGCGGCTGCGAGTGTGCGTTAAATTTTTAAAATTATTTACATATACATTTTAATTTAAACCCATTAAAAATTTATTCTAGACCCACTTCGGGTCACTGCGCCAACGCAGTAAGTAAGTAAAAAATTATTCATCGTAATCAAACGCTTTTTTAAGTTTGGAAAACTGGTTGAAAATACATGGACATTATATTTAACAGACGTAGGAAAACAAGTTAGTTTTAATTCCAAGGGTATTTTTATCCAAATTCGTTTAATATTTGTACTAAAACAAAATAAAGCAGGAAGGAAGCATAAAAGTCCATCTTTATGTTATTTTTCCGGTAAGCTTGTACACCGTTCAAGTTTTACTTCTTACTAGAATCTGAAAATAAAAGCTAAAGCTGTATAAAGTCTATGTTTAAGAATATTCTTTAGTTTCTTGTTCGTCTTAAGATAATCTTAATGAAAAACTTAATTCTAAAAGAAACAGAATGGAAAAATCTTCTAAGTCATTCTGCATTATGTGTCTTGAGCTGATTTTACAATAGTTATGCACTTTTAGAATACCTATGTATACAGTGAGAGACGTGTTGGAAATCAATAAAATGTTGACCACGATCCACGATTCTTAAACATGATAGCTCAATTCGAGACAGAATAATCACAATTTTAATTTCTTAAGATCTATAACATCTATTCCCTCTGTCAAAACCACTGTGAGAAAATATTTTTATAAATTATTATTTGTACATATCTTTCCCTACTTATAACAAATGAATGATATGAGCGTATTTTTTAAAGTTTAATGTTTGATAAGATTTGAAGATAATTAAAAAAATATGTACGATATATTCCTATCTTGACGCACTTAGAATGTTTTCTAAAAACATTTTATAACAGTGAATATATAATAAATACTGAAGTAATCACTTTTAATTACCAAAAACGGGGAAAAATTCTGCCGCAAGGGGACTTATTTTATTTCCTGTGAAATAAAAAAGCGAAGATATCCCAATCTTTTTACGACACTTAAAGCTAACTTAGTTGCGAGTTTTCCCCGCGTTCTACACTTTCATTAGGGCGTCGCTGACTAATTAATTTTTTTAAGTCCAAATTAAAGTAGCGTCGAACAGTGCTCATTCGTGCGAAAATTTACAAATTTATACTTCGTATTATTCGCCCGGGGGTCTTCAAAATGACTTTTTTGGTACATTAAAGAAACGTAATTTTTAAAGTTTAAGGAAATTTAATTCATGCTTATAAAAACTTCTTGGAATTAGTTTTTAATATTTAACTCTAGATTGAAATATAAAACTGGTGTAATTGTTACGTTACCAAGGATCAGCAAACAAAAGAAGTCTCTTTCTTTCTATGGTTTTCTATTAACAGTAAACATAACCAATACCATACCTAATGTAAACTCAGTGGATAAATGCGTCTTGTATGCCTTAGCGATTGTATAAGAGATACGTATAAACCATTCCTGTATTCAGCAAAAAAAATTATCTAATAGGTTAAAATCTCAATAGCACATTTCGAAGGCAAATGGTACTCATGTTGTGAACCAGTTCAGGTTTTAAAAATTGTGTTTCTTAAGATTCTGTTTCGCTTTTTCAACAGTATGTTAGACACCTAACTCGCGACACCTAACAAAGAAATACGTCAAGAAAAATCGACTGAAGTCTAGCAACTGTGTGTCCAACAAAACATCGACCCACATTCAGTCCAATGACATTTATTTTATACTATTCAAATGTACGCAGTAGTGACCTGAATACATAGAGTATAGATTTGCTGATTTGAATGTACTTATCTCGTACACGATACTTTGTTGCTTTAAATATTACATTTAATGCTTACGTTATTTAGTATGATGCCCACACACACGTTTTGATGTAATCATACTTCATACTTACTTATATTATAAATGCGAATGTTTAGATGGATGGATGGCTGTTTGTTAGAGTTTGTAGCCTAAATGGCTGAAAGGATTTCGGTAAAATTTGGTATGGATGCAAAGGATAGTCTGGAAGAACACATAGACTACTCACTTTTTGTTCTTTTTAATTCCGCGTGAACGGAGTGGCGAATGAAAGCTAGTCAAAATATAAAATGTTACTGTATTTGCAAATTGTAAATACATGTGTATGTTAAAACAAGTACAAGGTGAAATAGATTGTGTCTGCATAAAATTGACAGAATCACAAGCAATGTGTACATAGTTTATTCGTGCCCGGAGGCCGTTTCAGAATTCATCGAGTTTTTTTTTCGACAGAGCCAACCGAAACGTGCCGCGGGACGCTATCCAAGTAAAATTATTATTGGTGGTATTCGGACGAATACATGTACTGTAGACATTTTAAAAATTGCAACAAAACAGAGAGAAAACGTAAAACTGTAGAGTACGGAATGTATCGTATTCACTACTTGTTTAGCATAAATAATTTGGAAAATATAGGTTTAAATAATGCACAGATAAATATAAGGTTTTAGAATAATTTTTACTTACATTCGCAAAAATGTCTACAAAATATTTATATGCGTTTTATAAGAACCTTATGCGGATTTTGAAAGTTTTTTTTAATTGTTTATTATAATTTGTAATATTTTTAACTGCAGTCGTTTTAATAATTAATAAAAAAGGAACTTCGAGACAATTTTCATAATCAGTTTCCTGATTTCACCCAATTTCACATCACGCTTAATTCGTTCTGGGAGTTAGTTTCGTACGAACGTAATTAAGGAAAGTTTTTGGATTATCTACCTTGTTTTTCCACTCGTGATGTCCAGCATAAACGGACCCGCCACTCCCTTCTCAGTGTTCCCAATTTAGAGAATAAAAGAGAGGAACAAACCAGATTGTGGATCTACGTATATTGGTCACTATAAGCAATTTTTCGGCCACTTATTTAGTTTTACTTTATCGCCGTATTTCGGAAACTCTGCGCCCCTCGACAGTGAGATATTCACCAATTTAGTTGCTGTAAATTTGTTTTGTTAGCAACTTGTTTTCGCTCACAGCGGATAACTATTTTCCACTTTGAAACCGTGCGAGGTAGTTACACTACTGGACATTGTCATTCATATGCACAGTGTGCTACACGGAATGAGCAACTTGGGGAAAACAATAACTAACATTTTTCGCCATTTATTTGTGTTTCTTTTCAAAAAATTTGAAGATTAAACTACATTACTTGAATTAAAAATTGAAAAAAAGTTTATACAAATGACATGAACATATAAAAACTTTTGATTACATGACACCGATCAGGGCATATTTGATAAAACTTAATTACTTAAAAAATTTGTACCTGCGTTGTATACACTTATTAGCTACCTTCGAAACATATATACCTTTAAAACATGTCTGGATATGTAAAGAAGGATCGTTATTTAAAAAAAAAATAAAAGAAAATTCAGTACAATGCTCGCCATAAATTGTACTACTCCCGGGAATTGTAGCGTTTGCATACTGCCCGAGTAGTGTGACCATATTTAGCTTTCACCAAAGAATTTTATCTGTTGATCGAAAATAAGTATGTTTATTTTTATATATTATGTAAGTGTATTTAACCACAGAAATGTCGACTTGATTCAAACAACAATCAAAGTAGGAGACTTTAATTTCTGCATAATTGACATTTGACAAGTTACATAAGTTATACAATTTAAAAGGTATTTTTGATTTACAGTAGTTTAAGTATATAACATCCATTAAAATATCACCTTAAAGCAACATTAAAGTAGTCTATAAATTAGTAACGTTGTAAACCTGTCTTTTTTATCCAAAAACGTTTACTTTTTTGGTGGACAAAATGATTGTCTCATATGACGTTAATTAATGGTGTCTCTATTTTCAAGAATACACATACTTTGGGTACACACACAAACGCGATTCGTTTAGGGCCGTGCCACTTACTGGCTATTTTCACGTTGGAAGTACATTGTTATTGCTTCTACTTTGAGCCAATGCATGATTTCCCGCGTGGTACATCCTTAAACTTCAAAGAGTTTTATCATTATATCATTTAAGTGCCTATGTTATGTACTTATTCTAGACGAGCTGGTTACTGCATCTTTATGTCGAATACTTGAAGTAGTCCACAATTAGGACTACATGAATGTTTAGTTATTAAGGAATTGGTAAACCTTTATCCGATAAAAAATGAAAATAAATAAAAAACGGTTTTTACCAGCGCTTGCTTATATATAAGTCGTTACTTATTTTAATTAATATGTAATCTGACAGTTTGTTAATATTGCCTAAGAACGTCAGAAATATCTATTAAGAAAAATGCTAATTCGTTTCTTTTAATGTAAATTGGAGCTCTTTGAATTCAATTTTTCAATTAATGCCATAGTTTATTAAGTATTTTACTACTCTAGTAGTTCGCCAAACTTCTTTCTCTTAAATTCGAATTAAAATCGTCTTTTAATTTAAACTTTTTAAGAGGATGGATCTATCCATATTTAAAGACATTTAAGTGTTGCCCTTGAAAAAAGGTTTTTTGTATCACATGGAAAAAGTACTCGACATTTTTGTGTTAGGTAACAAAGATTCATTTAAAGGTAAATAAAACAAGGATTATTCTTGTGTTTTGTATTACGAATAAATAAGCTACATTACATTTATATTAATACAGTATCAGTATAGTGTAAAGAAATATATAAAAATAATTATAGGACCGTAAAAATCTAATGTAATTTTTACCTTCGTATGTCTTTGGCGAGATTGATGTATAAGAAATATTTTTGAAAGATATTACGAAAGTTATAAAAAATATATAGTTATAGTATATTACTTAACAGTGTTAGTTGTTTATATTTACAAATCAGAAACAGAAAATATGGCACATTATATATGTGATGTAATTAATTATAATGAATGAAAATAAACTTAGTAAATCATAAAACTTTAGTCTGCTAAGAATTAAAAAGTACAATAAATGCAAGCGTATAAATGCAGCATTGTAAGTACATAAAAACTGTTTTTAATTAATAAAAAAAAAATATTTTACGAAAAATTCTTTTCAGTTGCATACGTTTTTTAACACGTCTTAACATATTATAATAGTAAATTAGGTGTAATATTACAAAAACGTTTTATGGCATAGAAATAAAAACACATTGTGTTTATAGATTGTAAAAAAACACATTTTTTACCTTAACTACCATTTGATTTATATATATTATAAATTATATTACGTAAGGCATATTAAGGCATTTCATTACTAACATTGACAATAGCATAAGGTTTTGTGTAAGCAATTTCTACAAATAAAATACGACAGTTCATGTCTAATGACATTAATTAATATTAATTAATTATTTTCCATAACTAGCGTGAGTTAGTGATAATAAAACTACTGTAACTTTTCATGAAGCACGTTACGAACTCTACAAGTACTAAAAAGACTGATCGTAACATGTTTTATGAAAATGTTTTAGTAATGTGAACACACGGTTAAATACATTTATTATATCATTCAATTGGATATCATGCAATATGTTAGGATCATTGTGTTTCACTTGATCTCAAGTCAGTAGACAAAAAGACATACATTAACAATAATGATTCGATATAATTTCATTTTGACAATTTTGCAAAATAAAGTACATTTTTATTATTATAACAACAAAACCTAATGATTATAAATCGTATTAATTTGTAGAATAATCGTTTGGAGGATTTTAAAAGTAACATAACTTAGAAATTAATATAGTCTCAATCTAGATTCATTTAGTGTATTTATTCTTTCTAACGAAGGTTGCTATGGCTTCTAAGCTATAATTATATACGTCTATCTAAAGCTTGCCGGTTTACTGGGACCTTCGGTGGGTTCCAAAACGATCCGCTTGAAGCAACCCGCTGGCAGTTGATTGAGTATAGCCTTAACATTGTCCACTTCACCGCGGAGATGATCGTGCTCGTCTTGATATTGCTTAATCCATCTGTAAAAGATTAAAATCACAGCTTGACTTAGAATATTGGTAGGGCATTATTATAATAAATTAAATGAAAACGGCAGCAATCACATAGAAGTAGTACGATGTCGATACCGACTAGTTTAATCGAGTTTGCGAGGGATCGACCGCAAATTATTCCCACTCCCATTTACATTGTTGAAGGCCCTTGATGTACTGGAAATTAGTCGGTGCCGACAACGCGCTAACTATTCGTGAGTGGAGCCGTTGTTGTTTAGTTCAGACGAAATACACAAATAACCTATTAGTTGAACAATACCTTTGGTGATTATTTTTAGCTTCTGTTAATGTTTTTATTTTGCCGTCCAAGTCCACTTTAAGCAATGCCTTTTCTGCTGCATCAAGACTGTTCTCTGTAAGATGAAATTTTACAATGTGTAATTAGTTTTAGTATTTAACTATTTAAATAGAAGTTATCTCTTTATTGGTCACTACTGTCAAAACAATAGATAACCGTTGTGTACCACATGTTTATATAGTTAATACTTAAAAAAAAAACATAATCATGTTGCATTTTTTTGTAGTCATGGTAAGAAATATTTTTTATGCATGCATAAATTTGAGGTAACTACAAGTTGATAAGGAACAAACAGTTAAAAGGTATGTTTAGACTCTTAAATTGCGTTGAATTTAATTATTTTGATATTAAATATAAAACTTACGAAGCCTATTAAGCGCATTGTCGTCCAACGTTGGAAGATTCTGCAATTCCTCCATGATAACCTTCAAATCCTCTAGACCTTTTGACACTTGTTTCTCCGCCTCTCTAGCGTCAGTATTAGCTTGCCCAACCTAATGAAATTTAAATAGTTATTTAAATTTAATTTTACTGATCATTTTAATTGTATATTGGCACCCCAAAATTTAACATGAAAGGTAAAAGAAAAAAAAGAAAATAAGGAAGACTTTGGGATGGTGGATTTGCAACATTTATTTTGAGTACTCATTAAATCTATAAAACGGTTTACCTTCATCTTAGCGTTGCGAGTTAATTCCAGATTTTCTTTAGCTTCGGTCTCACGATCTTCTATGTCCTTCGCAGTACCCTTGACACGTGCTGAAATGATATAGTGATATTAAAAAAAAAATCAGCATACAGAAAAATGTAGGTTACAGGAAAGTAGGGGAAAAATCTAGGAAAACTTTATAAACTTTTGGAAACATTTGTAAACTACGTTATACGTACTTGATAATTTATCAGCTTCATCTCTAAGCTTGCCAGCTTCAACCCTAGAGGCGGACGCTTTCTTTCTTATCTCGTGCGCTGCCTAAAATATAAAAAGGAACAAACATGTAGCATGTACCTATAGTAAATAAACTGTTACGGCAACACCTTTGACTACAGGAATATGTAAAAACTGACGCCTTACCTCTGAAGCTTTATCAGCGTATTCCTTTTGTGCTTTTTGTGCTAGATCTCTAGCCTCTTTAGCTTTATCACTTGCGTTATTCAGCTCTTCAATAATACTTGAAATACTCTCATCAGCTGCTGCGACTTTTGCTTGGATCGGTGGAACATCTAAGGCAGCTTGGTCGGCCAGTCGCCGGGATTCCGCTACCTGATCGCTGAACTCTAGAAATCCATAATCAGAGGTGAGGGTAATAACACTTTAACACACATTCCTAGCTTTTCCTTCAGCCTTCCCATAATACGTAACGACAAATTCGTACACCGTGATTTCCAGTCCCAGAAGGGGAAGAGTGATGAAATGGGGATGATTAGAGTAAATTCTTATGCGAAATAGTACCATTCGTTGTTTAAGATAAAATATGGTTTCAAGAATGATAAGAAACCTGTGGTAAGGATATAATAAAGTAACTACATGGAAATAAAATATACTTATGAATTTGATTTAAGTACCTTTGAGTGTTTTATAAATTTCGTTAGCCTCCTTAAGCGTAGCTTTGGTGAGTTCAACATCTTTTTTAGCTTGTGCTTGTAGTACATCAAGTTTTGCTAAGAGATCGTTAAGTTCTTCTTGCCTCTCATTACCTTGTTCTAACAAATCTCTACCTTTGAGAATCGCCTCGTCTAGATTTTTAAGAGTATCCTCATTACTGTTCATCAACTCTTCAAGCATAGCAGCTTTTTCATCTATCTGGAAATTAAGAATCCCTTACTTTAACTTAGTTTAACGGCTTGAGTAAAATTACGATTCGAAGTAATCTCCAAATTAAGAGCATATCCATTCGCAGGATAAACTTTTAAAAGACATTTCGAACAATTCGGTTCTTTTTCATTTTTTACTGTCCAGGGCTAAGATATTAATTTGCTTTGGTCTTTATAAATTTTAATAAGTTACTTACTGTTCTGTTCATATCATTTGAATCATGTCGAAGTTTGTTGAGTTTAATATCTGGCAATAATGTTGTATTCACTTCCGCGTACAATCCCAAAGCATCGTCGTAAACAGATTTAGCTCTTGTCAGTGCTTGGTCAGCTAGTTCCATCATACTGCTTAATTTTCCTGACGCAGCATTCAATTCGTTGGCAAGAATTTGAACTTCATTACTAGGAAAAACAATTAACTCTTACATAATGTGCCACGTTATTTTCTTTAAGTCCTATTTTCTTTAATATACAAATTATAAAAAAATTACTTTTATTATATGAATCTTTACTAAAACATATGTATATATATTTCTTTCCAAATATTTTGGCGATACAAGTCCGTGACGAGCTGCGAAAAGCCCTCCCCACTGTTACACCTAAAATTGTGTCCGGCGCAGCTACTATCGCGCCGTTAGGAGTTAGGAGCCGCCAAGATATATGAAAACTGCTGTACCTTATATTTGCCTGTTTATTAATACCATCTTTAGCAATCTTGTTTGCTAACAAGGAGGTATTGTACGCTTTTTCAGCTATATCTCTAATATTCCTTGCTTCATTTTCTAGTTTCTCGGCCAGAAGACGAGATTCCTTTGCCAGAGCTGACATATCAACGGATTGTTTGCCGAATTGATCAGATCTGTTGCGGGCTTTGGCTAACGCTGCCGCGCCTTCGCCATCAAGATATTCTAATGCACTCTGAAAAGAATTAGAACTTTATTAATGGAATTTAGTTTTAAAGTAGTACGGTGATATTTTCTACTTCAAAATTATATAGCATCAGAAATGAGACTACTGAAAGATGTCACTGTTCAATTTTATAAAGTCAACAAATTGACTAAAAACTATATAACTAAGTAATACATACATTTATCTCCTTCTGCGCGGCTTCGATAGTATCTTCAGCTTTAGATACATTGCCTTTGCTTCTTTCAACAGATTCATTGCCTTCGTAACTAGCGTCCTCTATTTTGTATAGCATATCTCTAAAAAACATACCAAGTTAGCAACGCTATAGAAATTTCAAATCTTTTGACTACTACAATTATGATTGTTAAATAGCGTTTAGTGGACTCTACGGCAGTGAGTCTATGTTTTTAAAGGTAAGATCTTAAATGTGTACGAACCTGATGTCGGCAAGTCTATTTGCCAGTTCAGCTAGATTGTTGGTCAAGCTAGACCCAGGACCGTTACCTAGTTCAGCCTGCGCTTCTTGTACTAATCTCTCTATTTCAGCCCTAACCCGTTGGAGTTCTTGATCGAAGTCGGCATTCTCGACTACTGTTGGCGCTTTGGAAATTTTAGCTAGAATCTAAAATACATTTGCATCGGTTATATATATTGTGTTTTACTAATTCACATTTATATACTCGTAGAAGTATTGTTTGGAATCTTAAAATTTTATTACGCTTATTAATTGAATTTTCTAGGCTTACTAATAAAATTGGGTTAACTTCTGATGTAGGTAATATTAGAGTGGGATTTACGTTTACATACTTCATCTAATTCCTTTAATTTGCGTCGATGGTCATTGACCGCGTCTAGCACTAGGTTGTAGCATGGCGGACAATCCTCACAACCCTGTCCATCAGCTCTCCGTTTCTTGTTTTCCATGCACCTAAATCATATAAAATATTTTGAAATAAAGTTTAACAAATAAGAGGACATATTCATAAACTGGCCATTATATGGAATGAATGATGATGAATATGAATATATATGAATGATGAAACTGGCAAATACACACCGGTCACATCTACGTCCTTCAACGTTCTCTTGGCAAGAGCATTGACCGCTGACGTCACATTGGTAGTTGGTAGAGCCCCACTCATCACAGTCGCAGTCTAGGCACCCCTCCACCGAGAATCCATAATGATATGCACGGCAACGGTCGCAATGTTTGCTGTTAACAAACAAAATAACAGATGTGACCTTTAAAAAAGCGTCTAAGGAACATATTATTATCAAATTTAAGTAAGTAAATATAACCAAATATAAGTCCTCACCCATCAATACCCGGTTTACAATAACATTGTCCAGAAACTGCATTGCACGTTGTGTTATAGGAACCTTCAAGATTGCACTGGCAAGGAATGCAGCCCTCTCCAGAATCAATGTTGTAGTAACCATCCTAAAAACAAATGATTATGTTAGAATCTATTGAATCTTGAGATTTATTAAGGTATTAATCGATTGTATGAATTAACATAATAATTTCTTACCTCGCATTTATCACAATTTTTGCCAATAACATGCGCCCTGCAAGAACAAAAGCCAGTGAGTCCGTCGCATTGCGGTGGACCTTCTGCGCTTTCAAGAGTTCCAGCTTCATGGCACTGGCAAGGTTTGCAATCACCTTTCTTAGTTTGATCAAGAGCATCACCGTAGAAACCTGAAAGTTACCAATAGTAGTAAGAGTATAACATTCCAATATCATTTAATTGTGTTGTATAATGAAGAAAGAAGAACTGAATCTGTCATTTCTTAAAAGATTTACGCCAAAGGTGTATAATCGTTAAGGATACTATTTTATTTGAGACTTAAGCTGTGTCATATCTGTGGCTCTTAGTATCATATAGGTCAACACTTTAAACGACAAATAAAACCATTATAAGTTATGTTGTAGAAAATATGATGTAACTTACCACTCAAACATTTATCGCAGTGTTCACCAGCAGTGTTGTAAATACACTTCAAACACTCTCCGGTAGTTCTATTACAGTTGCCAACAGCATTAGAGTCCACATTTCCGTTACATTGACACTCTTCACAAGGTTTCGCAGGACCAAATTGTCCCGTGGGATCACCGAAGAAGCCATCCGCGCATACTTCGCACTTTGGTCCTATGTGAATGTATTATTGTGTTAAATATATTCCAGGCAATATATGTTTTCTTTATCCTTTATAAAAAATAGTAATAAATGATGAGTTACCTGCATATCCCAAAGGACAGTCTGTGCAAACAATGCTTTGGTCCATCAGCTGAATACAACCACTATCTTTAGGACATGGGCAAGGTTTACAATCGTCCGCAGTTCCCGCTATGGCGTTACCATAGAACCCTTTTGCACAAAGCTCGCAGTTGCTACCAGTTGTGTTATGTTTGCAAATACAAAATCCTGGAAAATAAAAAAAAAGCATTGAATTGAAAATATTACCATTAGAAACGTAGTTGACATAAATATTTGCATCCTGAATATTAAAAAAATCAGTTGAATATTCACTGACCTGTGGCTGTATCACAGATGTGCGCATGCCCATTACAATCGCAAGGAATACAAGTCGAGTATGGTCCACCATTAGCAGGTTCGTGTTTGAATCCTGGAGCACATTCTTCGCAATAATCTCCTACGTATGCTTTAGGACACGAACACTTCTCCACCCAATTGGCAGGCGCCGAACCTTTCTCCCGTCCGATATTAGCAGTATCAAGATTAAAACTCATCATGTAACCTTCTCCGCCTTTATTGTACGTTCCTCTTATCTTAATAGCAGTTAGATTTTGTAGTATTGACATAAATTCGAAATTAGAGAGTGTAGGTGTCCATCCGTATCGAGAATCTTCGTGGAGACGGAAAGTGTATTCTTGGATCTGAAACAATTTTTTTTTATATTAATTCCTTCCTATATTTTTTTAAATTTATGTCGGCGATATGTTCTTAAATCATGGAAATATTTATTAAAATGAGAATTAAATCACATTTCTGGTCATAGATTTCATTGCTGAGCAAAGATAAATATCAGCCGTACCTGATCAGTGGGTTCCGGATTGTTTTGACCATAAATGTTCATGGATACGGAAGCCCGGGATCCTTCGAGGACTATATCCTGAGAAGAAGGATAGCCTCTACTCTCACCAAGCCGCAGACTGAATTTAAGATCGTGATTGTAAGAAGGTCTCTGGTCGCCAAGAAATAGGTTTGAAGCCACAAAGTATATTATTTCCGATCCTTTCGACTTCACCGCTGAAAAAGTAATCATGTAATTTTAATATCCAATATTCTCACTTTTTATATCAATACACTGTTCTTACACACCTATATTCTGTGTATTGGCATTAAACTGTAATGGTGCCGGTTTCCTCTGATCATCTTCTGCTCCCCACTTCTCTGCATCTCTTATGAAATGGGCTGTGATTTCATTGGCCTGATATTTTGGTGCCGAACTGCATTGAGAAGAGTGGCCAAAACAGAAGCAAGGAGTGCATCCGAACTCATTCACTAAATCCAAGTTGAAGAAACCAGGTTTACATCTGGAATGTTAATATTAATAATTTTAAATGTGTAGAACAGAACCTTTATTTTTATTAAAACGACTTGAATGAACTTCTGAATCCCATCATATTACCAGTACTAAGTACCTTAATATTAACCAAAAATTAGATTGGTCGTAGTAGCGTTGCAATCTATAATCGAACGTAAAATATTAACTTACTCTCTGCATTGTTTTCCTTCGACATTTTGCTTGCAGAGACAGATGCCAGTTTGAGGATCACATTGTGGCGTGTTTGCGTAGGATCCGGACTCGTTACACCCGCACGGCTTGCAGCCTTGAGTAGTGAAGTCGAAGTGGTTCGCTGCGCATACGTCACACTTGTCACCAGTCACGCCTGGCTTGCATTGACATTTGCCCTCGGAGTTACATTGAAGGCTGCGAGAACCTGAAATTTTAATTAGATAAATAAGTTTAATGACCCAAAACCAGAAGAATAGGCCATAAATAAACTAGTAGTTTTAGTTGTAAGATGCATTTTAGATGTACCTACCAGTAGGATTGCAGTTACACGGCATACAGATGTCTTCTGCGCCCTGGAAGTAATTCTCTTTACATCTCTCACAGTTGGCGCCATCTCTGTTCTCGGCACAGTCCATACAGTGACCACCATGGCCAGTACGCTCGTACAACTCCTTGTCGAAGTAGCACTTGTTTGAGAAGCCATTGCAGTTGCAAGCTGCGGACAAAATTTAACAAAACATCAATTCAAAAACTAATTTAATAACTCCACTTTTGTTACACATAATATATAAGCGCGACAGGCTATAATTCAGGTATCTAATCCGTTCGATTATGCAAAAAATATACAATAGAGTCGTCTTATGGTTGTGCGCCAGTTCACTTCTTTCCACAACAAAACAGTTATTTATACTGAATTCTAGAGTACAATTAATAAAACAAGACGCAAATCAGTCAGATTCATTAAGAGTTTTTTAGCAATATCCAGGCATTTGTTTTTATCCATCATCGCAAATATGATCATCGCATTGCTAAGACTTGTCACGATAAAAAGCATTGCATGAAAATCATTATTTAAAGTAGGTATTTATATATGAGAAGTACCAATTCATATGATAATATAAATGTGTACTGATACTAATCGTTTCTCTCCTCCTATAAGTCAATGCATTCCTAAAATAAACAGATTTTAATGAAACTTTGGTGTAAAATTCTGAGGATACAGGATAAGGACTGTACTCTAAATCTTATTAAATTAAATGCACACGTTTAGAAATGGCTGAAAGGATATCGATAAAATTTAGCATAGATGTAGAGGATAGATTTGAAGAGGCTACTTTTAATTTTCTTCCATAAGGAGAAAACGCAGGCGAAAGTTAGCATCTAATAAATTATTCTTCTTCTGCTTAAGGCGCCTCTCCGACTAGCGAAGGTTGGCGATCAGTTCTTCAAATTTTACTCTATCTCTTGCGAGGCGAAATGGTTGGGCGGCACTCGCAATTCCTGCCCACTCTCGGACGATGCGCAGCCACAATTAATAAATTATATTAACAGCAATTTAATTACTTAACCATTGACTTCAGACTTTGGCTCTGCAGCGCATGCCGGATTCAACTAACTCTGTATAAAAAGGGCAGTTCGTTCATGACCTTTTTTATCAGTAACGATAAAGTTGTTGATAATTAAAACTATGTGAACAATGTTTAAATAATTTTTATAACATTTGGTCGATTTGTGATCTGCTGTGTGATCTTCGGCTACATAGCATTTGTAGCATTTTCTAGTCGCATGAGTAATAATGATTAGCAATATTAACTACTATTTTGCATCCAATATTTATTTTCACTCGCTTATCTGCACATTGGCATTTTTGCTTTGACCAAAAAGGTATTCATTGCAATGCATTTAATTCAACACGCGCCAGCTAAGCAATAAACAATTGCATACTTGCATTATTTATTTTATTACTATTTATCTATTTATCATATGATCTATTTTAATGAGTTATTATTAAAGCCTTTATTGCAAATGCTTATTTTTTTTTTCTAATTTACTGTTCAATCACCTGCTTAGTACACATTTATAGACACGCCATGATACTCTATCTGAATTGAGGTTCAGGTTTGAAAACAAGGCCTTCTCCAAAATTGTGGTAAAACGCTCAGCATATCCATACATACTTTGAACCAGTAAAAAAAAGCAAACCTATCCCCAACATTTTAATGACAAAAATAATATTTTTTTGATAAATATATCAAAGGTATTTAAATGAACTATAAGCGCTTAGCATTTTTAAATTAAATAAAATAACTTACCCTTGCACTCGTGAACATTGTTAGGGGAACCTCTGCCCCAGGGAGCATCATTGTAGAAATCCAGACATTTCTCACATTCACGACCAGCAGTGTTATGTTCACACCTGTAAACGAATGATGTTTTATGAAAGGAATACTTTAAATAGTGAAACAAAATTAATTAAATCAATAATGGACTAAATTTGCTGGATGTATTTTAGATTGCCTCTTGATTATCATTTTGGCGAATGATGTCACGATTCGTCTTCTCTTTAATAATCATGAACATAACAAAATTATTGTAATAACAAGCTAGTTTTGTAGTTTTTTTATTTAATATTATAGTTTACTAAAATACCTGCAGGATCTGGCTCGGGATCCGTCTGGCATCTCAATAGAGTCGCAGATGGAGGCGTGGCCGTTACATTTACAACGCGCGCCGACAGACACGTCAGCGATGGCGTACCAGTACGACTGCAACACTTGGGTATCCCCGAAGATTTCATCTCCAAATGTGTTTAGGCGATCCAAAGATATACGAAGATCAGTAGCTGTCACCCATTCCTGAAAATTACATTCATAATTTACACAAGGAGATTAAAAAATATTGATACTACACCTGTAACATTTTTCACCTAATTTCACTAGCGCTACCTGGTGTCCGATAGACAAAATAACAAAATATTCAAACACTGCGAAGAGTCTCGGCGTGTCAAATTTAACATTGAGGTATTACCAAAGTAGTAACCGATTAAAAAATGTTGTTCCTCATATCTAGACTATATATATATCTTAAATGTAAATACTTTGTACATGTTTGTGTTGCAGATTTAAATTCAAATTAAAAAAAAACTACAAAATATCACAGATAAAGTATACTTAACCAAATATGAATTGATCATAATATTGTCACAGAAATTGGAGCGTATTTATTAGACACGTATTTTCTTATAATTTAATATTGAATTTACCTGTAATTCTGGACTGCTCTCAAAGGTATACCCTGAGGGTCGACCCTCCAAAGTTGAGAACACAACGTTACCACCTGACAGTGGGGAGATGTCAGAATATTCGCTCGTGCACAGTGCTCTAGTCTCTGCACCCATATCCGCAGCGCGTTGTTCTTGTACTCCATACGTGTCACGGCATGATGCACTGTAGACACACCATTATAATGTACTTTGTTTAATTACTCATGTGATTCTGATAGATTTCTCGACCATTGTACAGTGACCTTCACTTTCGGTACTCCACTGAATGATAAAATGGTCTTCTTTTGGTCTCAGATAAAAGAGTGTTTTTGTGGATTATAGAAGAACTATTACATTACATTTTATTTACCTGTAATATTGGTACGGTTCCCAATCTGAATCTTCGCTTCTTTTCTTGTAAATAGCGAAACTTTGCGGCCTCGGCGAGTAAAACACTATCCGTATGTAGGTGATATCGTAAGCTTTTCCTGTAACAGTAACATATTATTATTAAAAGTAATCCCTTAACAATAAATTCTTCATTCATAGAGTTACACTTAGTGAACTTTAAATTTTATCCGTAAAATAATACTAACCTAAATGTAAAGTGAGATTCACTTGATTGGGATACTGGATCCCTTCCTTCATAGTTTCTGATTGCCACCATGTCTGATTGTCCTGTTCATAATGTAGATCAGTTAGGAAGTAGCTTGAGAACTGACCAGACTGACAGAAGTCACAAGACCTGCATAAAATATTTCAAACATTTATCAAACGAATGAAGCATATGAAATACATGTTGCTGACGTAAAAGAATTGATAAACTTATATCGATCGGATTAAATGTAATAAAGATAGGTGATAAAGAGAGGAGGTAAGTAATCAGAGTAGAAAGGTAGATGTATGGATGGAGAAGAATTCTATTATCATGTTGAATAGGAACCCCTACTTCTTGACTACCTCTCTTGTTTGAATATCGTGTGATGACATTGATGTCTACTAACCTTGTACCAGAGGAACTACCAGCAGATGTCTGTATGCAGTACATTTTGGAGCCATTATCACCGCACGTGTTGGTAGCTTCCATTTGTACCATGAAAGCTGCATTTTCGAACTCAGGTATACATCTCTATAAACAAAGAAATAGTAATGCTTGATTTATCATACGTCTTAAGTGATAATTTTAAGAATAATAAAAAGCCGTTCAGTTCAGTTCAGTTTCTTGTCTATGGTACTCCCTTACCAGATTGGGCCAGTGTCGAGTGTTTATGGTTTTAATCTTGTTCGGAACAGTTCGAAGAGAATGGCAATAAAAAGATGTAGATATAAAACATTTTATTCTACCAATATTTACAGAATCAACGGTCACTGAACCAATCCAAATAAAGTTAAGGTGTCGTTTGATTTATGGCTGGTTTCCAACTACATTTAACCATTCGTTAATGTTTTTGGTTCGATAACTTCATGAAATACGTTTCCGAACTAAGTAACTTGAGTTTTACTCCTTTGAAATTTAGTGTAATCAAACACTAATGGATCACTATGTAATGATAAAATAAATAGAAAATTCAGAAACCCACTATCAGTGTAGTGTACGTGAGAATGATTCACACCTTTTGTGGTAGTAATTAATGAGAATCATGTTTCATAGTTACGTATATCCAAAAAAAAATCCGTGTCTAATTAGAGTAATGAAGTATAGCAAAAGTGCACTTTTAGAAGAGTAGTAAGTAATAAGAAGAGTAACATGTAATAGTTATAGTATGCATTGAAATAGTTTTCAAATATCCCCCTGTATTTCGTTTGCTAACATCAATAAATTAGCTTGACAATACGGAAACAAGTTTGATACAGGGCCCGCAACAGATGGTAGTTTTGCCGCCAAAATAGTACAGCGTTATATATAGAGTAAACGTCCCAGGACGTTGGCACCGACACTGCTTGCCTTAGTCACGCTTAGACATATTCTCAGTTACAAATACTCTAATACTTATAACAATAAGTACGAAGATTTAAAATAACACAAGTAATTCTTGATTTAACAAATAACATTGTCACCCTAGATCAAATAATCAAATCATTCGGGACAACACGGCGTTTGACACTTAGTATCCATTTACAGCGAAACAAAGCATTGTTTGTAAAATGCAGTATCTGCCTATAATCTGTTTTTAAAATGTTAATTGAAAGCGGAGAGCACAGTAAATTAGATGATGTTAGAATGTGTTTTGGATTTTACTTCACAGATTAGATTAGAATTAAGGCCCTTTTAAGTAACAATTCTTCTAGATTTTTCGGCTTATGAAACTACCTCCTGGAAGACCAGTGGACGAACATTTCTGTTTTATTTTCACATATATTACAAGAGATTATTGTGATTAGAACAGAGAAAGGAGTATTACGTGCTTATATTGTGAAAGGGTTACAATGCACGCTGCATGTGACGACCAAGTTTAACAATGCAAAATTAGGTTCGATGTATGTTGCATTTCTTGACATCGGATTTCACTGCCTCTAGGTAATAACTAGGATAAAATTAAAATATTCTTGGTGATATATACAGAATAATTTTGACAATATCACTTATAAATGTTAATATCGTGTATCTCAGTAGACGTAAAAAAACTTATATGATAGACATCTGTTGGACATAACTAGTAGGTAAGTAACATAAGCGTTGCCCATGACCTAAGCTTGGTCTTAGGTAGGGGGAGGGCATACATAAGAATGTTTATTTTTTCCAATAGTTTTTGCGACGCCCATGGTTTTCGTTACTTAAGGCAAATATTTAAACTTAACCATAGAACAAATTTAGTTCAGAAGTCATAAATACACTTGAAAATTTGAATTTAAAAGGAAACAAAGTCACTGAACTGTAACAGTTGACCTACTAACATTTATCGCGTACCATATTTTTATACTGATATTTTGGCTATAATATTTCTTGTTATAAAATGATGTGCTACTTTTGTGACTTTCAATAATTGATAAGAAAAGAGTTTTTAATACCATTCCATCGTTAGAAGAATCAAAGTTTTGCGACTCGAAGAGGTTAACAGATGGAAATTAGAACAAAATAACGATTTCAGCCGAATTTAATTGATTGTCTAAAGGATGCATGTAATATTAGATTGTTAAGAATTAATGGATCATTTCCGAACCTATGTATGTTATAAAAGTGTTGACCTCCCAGTGACCACATGTCGCTTGCGTGAATTCTATCAGTTTTGAATTATAACTTTTATTGGGTACGCCATAAGCTTTGGTGTAATTATCTCTTATAAGCTTTTTTTGCGGCCAAAACATTAAATGTAAATACGTAATTATAAAAGTGGTTAATTAATAATATTTGATGGTATATGTGACATCAGCTACAAGCTCAGTTTGTAGTAAGCTGTGTATATCTCGGTACAACGGATGCGTAGTGATAAGCCCGTTCCGTTGGCCCCCGATAACAAAACATTGGGCTCTGAAAGTAAACGAACTCATTAAATGTATCAATGGACTTACAACATTTATTGTAGCACGATAACCTTACGATAATCTATGAAAAATCAAACGGCTAGTAACGATTTATAATTAGAAACTTTATTTAATACTTTTTTAACGTTTGTATAAATATTTTTTATACTGTATTGACACACATCATTATAATATCATTTACTAGATTCTAGGATAGCTATATTTTATCCAATAGAATAATTGAATCTAGCATGGTGGTGTCAAGTTAAAGAATCAGTTTCTTGTAGGTACTTAAAGTACAAAAATCTATTATAATAAAGTAAAATAATGAACATAAAACCATTCAAAAACCCTCAATATAACCTAAAGTTAGTTTCAATGTATAAGTTAAGTATAACTCTTAGTATACATAAAATAACAACGAATAACTAAGTTGAACACAAGTTATGCGAGAGTTTATAACAAATATGCATCGTGTAACTTCCGTAAAAAAACTATTTAACAAGTAAAATCTAATGTACAGATATCTATACAAACATTAAATAAAGTCTACTAAAGTTTTAGACACGAACTTTTAACGTCACGTATTAAACAAATACCCAACTTGTCAAATTGAACACAAACAAAAGCTTTTAAAAGCTCAACTTAAAATTTTAAGACTTACTTGAGGTTGTCCGTCGATGTTATAACAGGTCGCTAAGTCCTGTGAACCTATCCTTGGCGTGTGGTAGTAATCCTGTGCCGATGCAACAGCCATAAACGTTAGAAAGTGTGTGTAAATGAGAAGCTGCGCCATTTTGTGAGAGCGCGTGGAGCCCGCGTCGACACGCCTGCTGGTCGACCGAGCACTGACGCTTTGCGCGTTTCACAACACTGCGACAAAGATCAATGAACAGTTATAGTGCCAAATGATTTTACCTTTATTCATTTTATAGATGCTAGTACTCTGTCTCTCAGAGAATGTTTTGATTTGATATTCTTAACATTTATTAAGTTTTAAAGTGGGTAACCCAACAAAATGCACTTAAATAACATTTACTACTTCAAAAAGTCTTGGTTCCGTAGATTATGAAAGTTTGGATGTAAGATTTACATTGCCTTATTTTACAAACGATCTATTTAACCGAAAAATGTAACCCGTGATATATTATTAATTCTCTTTTAATGTCGGAAATACGAGTAACCCTAATTGACAAGAATTTATAGATAGATAAGGAACAAAAAGCAACAACAAAGGAGATCCACGCTTTTTTTTGTAAGCTAAAATCATGGGTTAAAAAGTGTTTGTTCTAAGTCAAGATAATTTAAAAAATACTTTATAAATAACTACACTTAAAAACCAAATTTTAATCTTTGTTTTGATGGGAGCACGCATTTCTAAGCGCGGTTTGGTGGCCTCATAGCAACCGTTTTTGTGAACGGACCTGAAAAAGGTCTAAGCTTTTGTTCTCCGCCAGAATGCCATTATATGGGCGCGGTAGAATTATAAAAAAAAAACAAAAGGTTTACTTTTTTACGATTCTGGATTATATACTTTACGCGAAATGTCGGTGATACTTATAAAAATACAGTTATAAAAGATAATTATAGTAAGAGTTTATTATAGACACTGACAATAATGAAAATTCTGATAGCGACTGTATGATAAGTGAAAAGTAGTACATTTCCTTGTTTTGTACCTACTATCTTACTTGAATACAGTCAGTACGATGCTGACGCAGTGTCGCAGAGGAGTGCATTAGGTCATTGGATAGCGGCATCTCCCTCACTCAACGGTCTCTATCTCGTTCATCTCAAGAGCACCAATTCCACGAACTTGCATCATTATTACATCCACTTACTCGATCTTCTCATAAGAATACAAAAAATAAAGAAACCTATGTATATCATAATAATATTATAAGTGCCAAAGTTTAGATGGAGGATATAGTCTGAAAAAACATAAAGGTTGCTTTATTTTTTTTATTAATTCCATTCGGACGTAGTCGCGGGCGAAAGCTAGTTGAAAATAAAACAATTAAAATTTACGACACTATGGTATGATATTTTGATACTTCTCTTTTAAAATCGCGATATCGAATTGTAAAAGGAATGTTTACGAAAATAAAAAAAAATAATGACATTTCAACTGAAAGTTTAAAAACTGTAGCCGAAATATGCGTTTCAGAAATCAACTGTTGCCTGTGCAAAGCGAACGGGAAACGGCAGCGAATGAGAGCAGTCAGCAAACTACGGCGATGTAATTTCCAATAGTATAATATAGTATAGCTCAAGTCAGTATTCCAAGATATGTATGATGATAAAATGTACACCACACCATACTTATAACATTCATCCATCCAAAATTTAATGTTTAACAGGAAATTTGTCTCGATGGTCTATTTACTTTAAATGTTACATGTGGTCGACATCTGGCATTTGCTACATCGTGTCTTTTGACAAATTAAAACGAATCCATTAAGTAAATGCCTACCTACTAATAAACCAATAATGAATGGTGTACAAAAATATTGTTATCCTTGTTTTTCGAAAGAAGATGAAATGGAAGCACAGGGAAAAATAAGCCTGTCGATAGTTAATTGGTTCTTCAATAAATTTAGCCGAACAGAGGACGATTAAAATGTTTTCATATTCTTATTTTTTTAAGTTAACCGTCACTAAAGTGACTCAATATAAAGCTATTACAATGATAACAAGGAACCTAATTTTAAGCGTTTACGGAAGCGGGTTTTGTAATGTAATACGCCTGTAAGCATCTAACGCTGAGATAACAGAGGTCAATGAACTTTATGTACCTACTGTGAAATACTTTGTTATAATCATGTCAATTTTTTTAGAAGCTCTTTTTTTGTTAATTTAACAAATTTAACATTAACCTAAGATTATACGCAACTATACGTGACACTATAAATACCGACATTTCATAAACCGCGTGACATCCGGCGATTGACATTTTATAGGAGAAGACAAAAATGTTGCACATTATCCAAGGTGTATGTAAAATTGCTGTACTTTATAAAACCAACCTGAAGAGTTATTACTTTCTTCTATAGACAGTCGAACGTGGAAGACGATTGGAGGCAGGGACGTTATTTGTTGAATACTCTCCATCTAAATGAGATATTTTGCCAAACCAGCAGTTTGACTACACAACTAAAGTCTTGATGAGTTAATAGAAGTTGAAACTTGGTAATCAAACAAACTATAACTAATTAAACTTTTAAGTTACTTGTGTTATATTTAGAGTGTTCGCTTCAACAATAAAATTGTCAACAAAGCTGATGGCAGTGAAACGCGAGCCCTGATGTCTCACCCCTTTTAACAGCCCAACACTCTGCGCACCTTTACTTGTTAATTACTATTAACTCTGAAGTGAAAGACTGTAACTCATAAATTTAATATTTTTTTTGCCTCAATAAATAATGATTTCGCGAAAAAATATAAAGACAATAATGTTGTCGTGATATAACAACATGCGTAAAACTCAAAACATCGAGCTGGCGCCGGAAACTAGGAAGTTTCCCGTAGCGAAATAGTTAGAGGTGACTTTTCCTAGGAGTATGGTACAAATGAGTGATCTCCTACCAAGTCTATTGAGTCGTGTATTAACGAGAAATATAATGTAGTGTATGCCTGGTCTTAATAATATTGAACGATATATTTTATTAACTTTAATATTTTAATGATAAATTTTCGCATACGTATTAGAACAACACGTATTCATATGAAATATTGAACAGATAGTGAATCTAATTAGGTCATAAGCACAAGGTGCATTTGCCAACAAGCAATTAAACAAAGTGAAACGACTGTTATTGTGTTTTTTAAGCATACCTCAGTTGACAATTAGGATAATCGTTGGTAGAGCATTTTGCCACCTGACCTATTAGCACGCGTTGAACGGGTGGAGCATCAGTTGTCGTCTGGGGCTGACGGTGACCGCTTGCCTGACAACATGGATGCCAAGGTAACATAACTGATTTGACAGCTTTCTTAATTGTCTATGGTTCTAGATACAACTGATAGGACTGCAACAAGCGTACTCGTAGCTTCAGAACAAAGTAAGACAGTATTAATTCAAGACACGAGAGATATTTGAATAGCATTTTTCATTATTTTCAACAAGGCGTCATGTATTTTAAATGTATTTCTGATCATAAACCCAACACAATTATGAATTTCTAAAAATCCATGTTTAAGTTAAATATAAATGTTTTTTGGGATACGTATTTCATTAAAATATTTATTGGTTTTGATTATTTAACTGTAAGCGGTGTTTATTACTCCACGATGCCAGCGCTTAGTGGCAAGATTGAACGTGCTACCATAAGTTTCTCAAACTAAGAGGGTATTGGCGTTAGAAACAAAATTATTCTACAATAATCTTCCCTATTTATTGCATTTTCTAATATAACTTAATGTTTTTTTAATTCAGGGCAAGGAGAAGGGTATTCTTAAATTGGACCCTCGTCCACGAGTGTTGGTGGAATCGAAGTCGGAACTAACGCCTCAGGTAAGGTACATTTATACTATTGGTATTTTTGTTACTGAGGATATCATCAATTCAATTATTGACATTGCTAATTTAAGTTATTAATTGAGCGAAGCAAATATACTTAAATGGAGCAAAAGATAAAGTCTCTCATTCCGAGATGGTGTTACTATTCATAACATTAGAATCCATCTATTTTAGTAAGAAAGTAGATAAATACGTCGAATCAAATTTCATTTTTGTTTTTGAATCGATTATTTAGAATGTAATTCACGTCGCTACTGTTTAAACCTAACCGTGCAATATATGTCCGTAATCAGTTCAAAGAAAATTGCCACAAAACACCGACCACAAAACATTTGTAATTAGGACGGCAATCAGGGTGCGGTACGGCCTCGCTAAATAGCAGCGAATTTGCATCAATTAATCGAAGCACAATAGTTAACTAACGCGTTATAAAGGTTTTAAATGCTAGCTTTTTAATTTTCATGGAAAAGCTTGGTATAAATCGTATCAAAGAATGACGCGTGAATCACGAAAGCTTCGTGTAAACGGTGATTTTGATGCTCGAATACTGAAAAGAAAGAAAAAGAAAATTATACTTAACAAATATATACACCAGTTCATTGTATTAAACTTTATAAATAAAATTGTATTTAGAAATATGCTAGGCTAGTTATTCAATAATAACTAGGATGTCTCTTTTTGATGGCTTTTAACCAGCAGGACCATGCTAAAGAAACTTCACAAGTGTAACATTAGCACTAGAAACAAAATTATATTGTCGCAAACAAATCAAATAAAATATGACTAAAAGCGAATCCTCCTCATTTGTGTCCAATGAAATCAGAAGAATACTTCAATGGACTATAAGCAGCAAGAAATCATCCACCTAATTACTTTTTGGTCGGCTTGTTACGACAGTGAAAAGCCACGGTTATAGTAAGGTAATTTAATAGACAATAAAACCTAATATGTTAATGTAAATGAACATTTCCAATTCGATTTTGACCGACATTTACAAAAAAAATCACTTCTTAATTATGGTGACTGATATAAACGCAAATGGGGTTTGGGGCTGTGAGGGTGTGCTTGTTAATGGAATGAATGAACAGGGCTGCCTCTCAAATTACCATTGTTAATTATTTCACACCTAGTTTTTGTTTTATAACCTTAACTAAAACTTGTGCAGAGTACGTAACATTGACTAATTACCTTTTGTGTTAATATAAATCGCGGTTGTTTTGTATGATATATTATTGTTACTTGCCTAAGAACAAAATATTATTATTGTATAATATTTAGATTACTGATCACGCACCAATGGTTTAGATTTGTGAAGAGAACAGAAATAAGCTGCCGTGTTTCATTGCTTCTTATCCTCATAAACTGAATTTCTTTTACTTTTTTTGCTAGGAGGCTTTTTAGCTGGCGACGCCGTGCCATTTTTAATATCTGATAAATGATAATTTGCTATTTTTCCTCAATGACACCTGACTTAATTTGTAGTATGCTTGATTTTATGGTGATTAACAACTTTTACTGCTACTCAATAACGCGGCCCACAGTCTCCACAGGGACAGGCTAAAAATTTGGCTAAGGCATTGACCATGTGGTTCACGCTGAGCCTTGAGCCCATTGTTATAATTTTTTAATATAATTACTTAATGAGACACTGAAATTATTTAATATGATGACAATAAAGAGGTTATTTTATTATTTATTTTGTCAAAATTATTTACGAGATATCAAATTATGTCTTGATCATATTAATTGTCAGTATCGGCAGCCCTTGGCAGCATAGTTAATCAGAGTTAACTATTGGCGTTCGCTCATTGACTCCCATGGAAGACTGACTGCTCTCGGTCACGGCACCAACTGAGGTGTGGTTTTCTCAAGAACACCTTTTGTTTCCATAGAAAATTCATTTCTAATTAACAACCAAAAAACTAAAATTTTTATGACATATTGTTATGGTCTAGTTAAATTAAAAAAAAAAAAACATAATTTACAGCTCTTCCGTGTAACAACAATAAAATCTATGTCAATGTGCAATTCGTTTGTTCTCTGTGAATTTATAAAAGTAAATATTGGTTAGATTTTTTAAGAATTCGTTTTCATGTAAATTCGTTTGCATGGTTTACTTTTAGTTTGATGATTCGTGTTTGTATTGGGCTTAGAAACCGCTAGTAATGTATTAAAATAAATTCATAACAAAAAACCTCAGCTATTTTATATATTGCTAACACATAACTTCAACTGCTCGTTTGTGTAACTGAATGATGTCAAAATTTATACATAGCGTTAAAGTTCAAAAAGGTTATCGTTGTTTTTTTCCTAATATACCAAACAATTTAATAACTAATAGATAAAAACTAGTTTATAGATAATGTAATAATGTCACATAAATTATAAAATTACGAACTATCGATATGAATACAAAAAAAATTGTTCATTAAATAAAAATGTTGATCATTGGATTCGCAACATCCTAGTATTTATTTTGATTTATTCTGTTTTATTTTCATGTTAAATTCTAGCAATTAGTATCATTCTAAAAAAGATTTAGAAAATATTTTACTTATAACATGATGTAATTTTTTAAAAACGCCTTTGTAGTTTTGAAAAGACTCTCTTTCTAAAACAATAGCGATTTTTACTGATTGTTAAAAAAAAAATTACACAAAATTTTAATTTTGTTAGTATCTATCAATCCTGTACCTGTGTATAATCGTTAACTATGTGATTTATTAGTCGGTAAGCGATGTCTCGCCCAGGTTCAGTTCGCTATCGGAAACGACAGTTCAACTGCTGCCGCCACTTCGATAAGTGCACAACTTTTCGTGTTAGAAAAAACTGCGGGTCAGTGAAAGTAAAACTACTATAATATAACTCTATTATAAAAATAAAAAAGTAATTCCCAACTTTGAACAAAAGAAAGTTTAGAAACTTTTGGTTTTTAAATAGAATAAATCTTTTTGAGATTAAGAATTAGTTATGTTTTTTTTTACGTAATAACGAAGTTTTCCAAAATGCCACTGTAAAAAAACAAAGTTAATTAACATCGGACAGAAAACAATTAAATCATAGTAATTGCTGTCATGTTTTGAGTAATGAAAGTGGAATATAAAACTAACCATTAATAAAGGACCTGCCATGTCCACGACATATTTTTTTTTTTTACATAAAAACAAACAAAACATAAGCCCAGTTCACTTGTTAAAATATTATTATTATAATTCTATTGTTGGACACATAATTTTAATTTTGTCTCTTGTATTTATGGAACGCATAAAAGGTATAATTTTTAATAGTTTCTCCGCAGTTGTTTTTCCGATTATTCTATTGAAAAATATGAAAAATCAAGAATAGTAATGGTGTATCGCCTATCAGGGTTCATGTGATCGTCCACCGTCGTCACCGCAGCCTTCAGTAGACCGTCTCTCGGTGACCTGGGCCGACCCTGGCAGCATGACTTCTTCTGGAGTCAATTTATTCCATCTACCATCGGAGACACCGATTAGCAATGAAGTCAAATTCTCACCAACAGCTGGAGGTAAGTAGTAAATTATATTGATTATCAATAACTATTGTATTAAATTATGTATGATTTAATTGTTAAACTCAAACTAAGCTTTTAATGAAAGTTGGAGCATATTTTCCGTGTATAACGTAAGTTGTAAAATTTTAAAAACGTTTAAAATTAGAAGTGTGTTTACACTTTACAATGTGAAAAAATGGATTTTACATTAAGTGTTATACTCTATGTACTTAAAACCATTTTGTAATAATTAAAAAGAAACGTAATTATGAAACATAACACTTCAAAGGGGATTAAGGACTCACTTCAAAGTGAGATTAAGGACGATTTGGCGCGATTCCTGCTTGTTAGTCTTGTTTACTGGTTTATTCGACACATATTTTCTTACCACTAGAGGTATCAGAAGATGAAGATTACTCCGCAAGCTTGAGCGCAGTGTTGCGTCAGCGACGTGCGAGCGTGCGACGGTCCCGGAAAGGCCGTAGCAGGAGACCATCATCTCCCTTCTTACCTGATGAAACTCGATCTAGGAGGCGTTCTTCGATTTTTACCACCAGTTCCGGCGAGTAAGTACAATACGGGGCAACTAAGTTAATCCATTAAAATAGCTACATATTAATCTTAGTCTTCTGTCGCTATGTTTGATTCTATTTATAGTGCTCCTAACATAAGAATAATATTTTTTTCAACAGTACAGCGATTTCTATTGACGAAGTACCACTGGTGACACAAGAGCAGATTTTCGAGAACATTCATCTTCACAAAGAAGTGCTTGGCTCCGTGAAGCAGCAACCTTTAGGCATGCGACGCAAGTTAAAGATTGTCCATCAGGTAATTTGTTTCAATTTCGAACAGTACCTCTGAAGAACATTTTTTTATATAACTCTTGGTTTACAGGCTAAAGGTTATATAAAACGGCATGAGGGCCAATTACAGGAGAGACTTGCACAATCAAAAAGCACGCGTGATATCTACGCTCGTTTCAATATACTGATAGCTACGGTAATTTCCTTTTTTCACTTCATCGTGGTTTCAAAGTGTTGTCAACTCTTAATAATTTTCCTATCGCCTTTATCTTACAACTACTTTATATTTACAAATAAGGCTTGTTCAAAGTTTTTTTAAAGTATAATCATCATAACAGACTACAACAAAACAATAAATAAAAAAATATATTTATTGCTATAAGAATTTAGTGTAATAATAAAAGGATTGATTTTAATAAATGAATAACAAAGCGGCCTTTATGGTGATGTAATTCTATATGTACAGAAATGGCAGCAGCTAAAACGGGAAGCGGCCAATACGTCCAACTTGCTTATACCTTGGGAACTACGCATCAAGGAAATCGAATCTCATTTCGGATCGGTTGTAGCGTCCTATTTCACTTTCTTAAGATGGCTCTTTTGGGTAAACCTCGTCATCGGCTTCATTTTACTTGTATTTGTCATCACACCAGAGGTATTCAAATATATAAAGCATTTTGACTTTTATTTTTGAGTAATACGGATACTTGAGCAAAAGTAGCAATAAAGGTTTTAAATTTACAGTATTTAACGGCAAATCCTTCGCAAGATGGCGAGAGGAAAATCATTATGGAAGAAGAACGTCGCAACTCAACTAATCTACTTACTATGTGGGAGTTTGATGGGGTCCTGAAATATTCCCCAATTTTCTACGGATATTATAGCAATGTAGAAAGGCCAGAATATCGGATGCCACTCGCCTATTTCCTTACTGGTTTAGTTGTATACATTTATAGCTTCGTCGCTATATTGAGGAAGTGAGTTAAATATATCTTTTATGGATACGATGCAAGACGGGCCTTTCGATAGTTTCATTTTGTGACATGAAACATTTTCCCTGTTGTGTATTTAAATAACTTATGCGAAACAAACTTCCAGATTTCGTTATGAAAATTCCTAAGATCCTTTTCACGTTTTATTCGAATGTGCTTATATTACGATGACTTATAAGTTCGGCCTTTGTTTTTTTTGATATCCAATTCTAAAATCCATTTATTTTTAGAATGGCTGAAAACTCAAGAATGTCCAAACTATCAGAGAAAGAAGATGAATGCATATTCTCTTGGAAACTTTTCACCGGATGGGACTTTATGATAGGTAACGCGGAAACAGCTCATAATAGAATTGCATCTGTTATTCTTGGTTTTAAAGAGGCATTGTTAGAGGAAGCTGAGAAAAAGAAAGACCCTAGAAAGTGAGTATCTTGAGTTAATATTTAGTTAAAGTCATGTAAATATCGTATGTTCTCTGAAGTACCGTCTTAATTAGGTGCTCAGAGAAATTTCACATCACATTCGATACCTGATCAGCTTAATTTTTTTTTGTATCCACTATCAAAAATAATTGATTATATAATTAGTGATCTTAATGTGAAGTAGAGTTATTAAGTAATTACATATTTTTTACAGTTGGCGTATTATTTCGCTACGGGCGCTCGTTATTATTTGCGTTATCATTCTTCTTGGCCTCTCGGCATACGTTGTTGTAACAGTCGTAACTAGATCTGATGATAATTCGAAGTCTCGAAATTGGTTAAGAGAGAATGAGACAACTCTTGTAGTGACTGCAATCTCACTAACCTTTCCAGTGTTCTTTGATTTATTGGGATTATTAGAACACAATCATCCTCGAAAACAATTAAGATTACAATTGGCAAGGTAATCTTTTTAATAAAATCATTTATACTTTTTAACTACCGAATCTGAGGCTAATTAAAATACATCTTTTTCAGAATCATGTTGTTAAATTTACTGAACCTTTATTCTCTAATTTTTGCTCTGTTTAGTAAAATTCAAGGCATGAGCGCTGAATTAGATTCGTTACAACCAAGTTTTAATATGAATGCGTCATTTATGGCGGATAACGCTATAGATTTAGGTAGATCATCAATAAATAGCGTCTCAAGTACGTGTCATGAAATTATTATACCATGTTTGCCATGTCATTTACTATCGTCATCAGATAAAGTTCCAACAGAAAGTACTATGGTTGACTTTACTTCAACTGTAATATCACAACCAACAACAAAGATTAAAAGCTTAGCAACCCAAAAGTTCTTGAAAGAAACAAAATCAATTGAACCGGAAAATTTAAAAATATATGAGGAAGATGAAAATAAAATTATGAATGACAAAGGAACTATAGATAACAGTATTTTACTGCTCATGGAAGAACTTGATAGATTAAGAAACATAAGTACGTTGACGAACGATTCTGTACTGTTCTATGAAAGTACAACTGAAGATTTTGAAAATAATGAAACGACATATTTTGATACAAGTACGGATTCTAGTTCGTTATCAAGTAGTGATCGATTAACTACAAACGAATACAAAGACATTTACTCGGATGCAAACTCAACTAATGATTTCGTTTCAACAACTGCTGAGTATGTTGACAAAGAAGAGACAACGACACTAACTGATTCAAATGTTATTAATGAAATAACAGAGAATACTTATTTTAATTGGAATACAGCGCCAGCATCTCTAAGTAGTTTACAAAGTGAAACAAAACTAACAACAGAAGATTCAGTAGAAAGGTCTGAAAGCATTAATTTACCTTCAGTAACGACTTATGTCACAACTGTAGTATACAATGATATAAATTTAAGTTCTACCAAAGAAACAAAAATTACCGAAAAAACAAATTATCCGAATTATGAACGTTCAGATATGTACACAAATAACATTTTTAACAATACTACTATTATCGACAAAAGCAAATGGGAAGAAGATCAAAATGAGACGATAATTCCATCTTTTTCAACAACAACTATGATAAGTTATTTAAACAACTGTAGAAACCTCTCATTTAATTGTTCGTTTAATTGTAATGGCAAAAATATAACGAAAGTGTTTTTTATGTCCAATTGTACCATATCTGATATTAAATGTTATGTCAATCAGTGCGAGTATAGACAAACTCAAAAACATGTAACAACAAACCAATTTAACTTCACTGCTATTGATAAAGTATACTACGAAAATAATAGAAAAATGTATAACTTAACAAAAGAAACCAAAAAGAAATTACTAAAACTGTGCTGGGAAACAATGTTTGGACAGGAGTTGGTAAAACTAACCGTTATGGATTTGGTAACATAGTTTATATTATTTTGTTTTACAAATTTATTAAGAAGCTTAAATTGTACGACCTAATACAATTTCACTAATCGTTTCCAGGTGGTCGGGTTACTTGGAACGTTATTTTTAGATTTCTTCCGAGCTTTATTTGTCCGATACATGAACCAATGTTGGTGCTGGGATTTAGAAAAGAAATTTCCAGAATATGGTGATTTTAAAATTGCCGAAAACATATTGCATTTAATAAACAACCAGGGAATGGTATGGATGGGAATGTTTTTTTCACCTGGTCTTGTTATTTTAAATGTTTTTAAATTAATGACTTTAATGTATTTAAGATCGTGGACTGTTATGACTTGTAACGTTCCACACGCTGTTGTCTTCAGGGTATCTAAAAGTAATAATTTTTATTTGGCGTTATTATTAACAATGCTATTTCTCTGTGTTTTACCTGTTGGATACACGATCGTGTGGGTAAAGCCTTCTTGGCACTGTGGCCCATTCTCGGAATATGAAAAAATTTATCACATTTTAACAAACAATATTTACAAATTACTCCCAAAAAGCTTAAATTTTGCTCTTGAATACATTGCTTCGCCCGCAATAGTCATTCCATTACTTGTTCTTCTAATACTAATTATATATTATCTTACGTCACTTACTAACTCGTTACGAGAGGCTAATAATGATTTAAAGGTAAGGTTAATTATTGACATTGTTAATTCTGGCAATTTTTGTTTAGTTTTATATTGGGCCTTAAAATAATAAACCTTTTAGATTCAATTGCGACGTGAAAGAACAGAAGAAAGAAGAAAAATGTTTCAATTAGCGGACACAAGAAGACGTACAGGATCATCTAATGTTGAAAACACTCCTTTTTCACGTTGGAAGAAAGCTTTGCCAGCTCTCCCAGTTTCTAAATCTTTTGACTCGGATGATAGAAAGGCGGCTGAAGAAAATAAAGAACATTCGAAGAATTTAAAACGTAAAGGTAATAAACTCTATGCTGAGTGCATACATTTAATTATTTTCCGGTACTCATCTATTCATTCATTCATTCCCAATATTACAATATTTCTATTTTTTTGTTTGTTACCAGGTGGTATATTCGCTAAAATTGTTGGGCTTGCACTAGATAAAAAGCCTGAAGTGGAAATCACTTTGCCATCTTCATATAACATCGATGGTGATACCGACACTGACTTCTATGAAATCTTACCCAAAGAAACATTAAAAACGAAAGATACGACAGTTCCAAAAATATCTGACCACAAGAAGAAGTCTAACGTCGAATTCAAGTCTAATGATAACGATATTATGAAATACAAAAGTGAACAAGGTTGTCTTAAAGTTAAAATTGAAAAGCTATGTGAACGTACTGAAAAGAAAGCTGTTATGGAAAAATTGAAAGAGGACAAAATCATTGAGGAGGAGTTTACATCAATTCCATCTAAAACTATAATTAAAAAATCGAACAGTAACAATGACGGTAGAAAAAAATGTTTTAATAGAAAACAAACGTCAGAGTCAAGCACACACTCAAGACAATCAGATTCTATAAGTTCTGTTATACCAGTAATAACTATAAGTACAACAGAAAGTGACGACGAACAGTTACAATATCCTAAAGTTGTAGGTGAGCAGAAAAAGAACAGAAGCGATATAAATTCAAGTCCAAAGGAAGAGTTATCTAAGACAAATAGAAGTAGTACAGACTTAAAATCACTCCGAAGACAAAGCAGTGTTGACAGTATAAATGATAATAAAACGCCAAAGGAAAAGAAAACTGAAGATGGATACAAATATCAATATTCAATATAATTATGAAATATATTGTACTACGTATTGCTTTGCCCGCTGAGTGTAGATTTCAGCTTCTTAAGACTTTCTTCACATCAATGTCTATGGACAATTCCTTAAATTTCTCTATTGACCTTGTTTTAACTATTTGAATATTATGTGCCTAGTTAAACACAAAAATTTAAATCAAGAGTTTTTAATCTTTTCACACCACTAGGTTTAAAAAAAATTGTGTAATTCACGCATTAGCGCACAAAATGCACACAAAATTGTAGTGTAATAGTAATGCTTTATTGTAAATCAATTAAAATTTTTCCTATTTAATATTTATTTTATTTCATAGAAAATATGGAGTAGTACACTTATATAGAATCGTGTTATTTATTTTTTATTTAACAAAAATGTTTACTAAGTAGTAATAGTAACATTAAAGTTATTTTAAGACGAGTCTCTTTGCATATTGCATGCATCATGACACATTCTGATATTTTCTTAAGGTTTACAGTTAATTTTACGAAAATAATAAGTTATGAATTGATTGCATCCGAGAACGAGAATCGATCATATGCACAAACAGGTCGGCGCTCAAGCTATCTCTTCTCTGAATTAGTAGAAAAAAAATATCGTACGCTACCCTTCCCGAACCCTGAGGCGTAGTATCGGCGCGTGGAACTTCACTCGGTGGCTGGCCGGCGTGCGCGCAACATGGAGCGTGCTGTCGCGCTCCTATTTTTATGTTTAAGCGTCGCGCGCGCAGAAATATTGACACCCCCGTACTTTAACTTAGCACTCGGAAAGAAAATTACCGCGACAGCGACGTGCGGCGATGAAGGCTCGGAGCTGTACTGTAAGCTGGCCGGCGCCAACGCCGACCACGACGAACATGTGATACAAGGACAGGTATTTTTTTTTCTTTATTACTCATTCACCTTCTAAGAATTTTGTGACAGTTAATAATATTATTGTTTACCTTTTTATGTGCCAATATGGCGCACCGCCCGTGACTTTAAGCAGACGAATATCTTTTTTATTTTAATTGTTGTATACTAAATTAAGTTGCATGCTTAAATTCTATTTTTCTTTTTTTAATTGTGCTAGATTATATTTACGAACGTTGCAAATCTTCCTATCGCAAGATGATTGAATGTCTATTAATACAAATGTTATATGTTATAGAATTTCTATGTAATTACATATTAGGGTACCACGACCAGACAAAAAGTTTTATTTCTCATTTCCTCATAATTTGATAAAGTTAGCCGCAGCTTCCAGCGAGAGTAGCCAATAGCAGCCTAAACGGGAACTTGCGATAACACTGTTATCTCAAAAGCGTCGCGTCCTGTTAGCCAACCATACTGATAATGGAAACGGTCTCGTCGCCTCTTCATTACGAAACCAAAACCTACAAACCAGTTCATGTGGATCTTTTAAAATGTGACCTCTATTGTTATTAATACCTATTATTCTCTATCCTTAATTCTTATAAGAAGAATAACGGACAATAAAGTTATTCCCGTTCTCACGTATATCTTTTCCGTTGCGACCTTGTATTCTGGAGTGTCTTGGCTGACATCATAACTAATTATGATGCGATAAAGACGTATTATCAAGAAAATAAAGGCCCGTGCATAGCGTAAGCCTTAGGGAATCTAACTAAAGTGCCGAACGTAAAGTTGCAGTTATTTTAACAAAAAAGACCTTTAAATCTGTTTATTTTTGTTTTCGGGTGCACTAACTACCTTTGCATATTAATTACCCCAACTGGAAAACCTTTACACAGAATATTCAGTTGAGTTTTTTTTAATTGAGGAAACTTTTACTGTATTTGATTCAATTCAACTGTTCTCAATAATTCAAACATGAACATCCATACCCATTTCGCTGGGATCAGCGATCTGTTAACCAAAGAATATAGAAGTGTTTATTCAGGACACATCATTAGCATATCTATAAAATAATATACAGATGAAACTGAATTATGTCATCAGATACAATATTTACTATTAGAACCGGTACAACTGGTCACATTTTTATTTTAATACCAATCCTGTTTTTAAAATCTAGCTTTTGATGTCTCTTCTCGGTTCTGATAGTTGTTCGAATTTACAACTTCACATATATTTAATACAAGAAGTCAAAGAGCCACGTAAACGAACATCGAACCTACATAACACAACTATTAAAAATGTTTGCTAAGAAAAGTTCCCAGTGTTACTCTCCTACGGGAGAGGGGACTGCTCCTGTTCCCCTAGACACTCCAAAAGTTAGATCCATATTAATAGTAGCTGACCCCTAGCCGCCTAGATCTTCAACTAACGCTGACGCTCTCCTATTCATCTATAAATTTTTCGTTCCATTTTGTTGTATTGAGATGAATCTTTTTGTATAGTTTGTTAAATAGAATTAACATAAAATTTAGAATTGTAAATTAGTAACAAAGTGGTATGTATATCTCACAAACTTCACGACAAAAGTTCATTCATCGTTATCCAGAGATAGTGAGTTCATAGGTTAACAGAACATTTGTATAGGCCATTACACTTTAACGTAATAGTATAAAAATGAAATACCATTACGACAAATAAGTGAGAAGTGTTAGAAAAATATAATGAAACTAGCTTTCGCCCGCGACAATGTCCGCGAGGAAATTAAAACATATCAGTAGCACATGTGTACATCGACGTTAGCAAAGAATAACATAAATAGAAACATTTGTATTGTTGTATGGAAAAACTCAAAAAAGTTTTCTCTCGCCATTACAAGACTACATCTTACTAATGTTATAAGCATGAAAGTTTACATGGATGGATGGATGTTTGTTAGAGTTATCATTAAGTTTATTCCTAGTTTTTTTTTATAACTAATTTGAACTTTTCCAAATTAAAAAGGTATGCCATTGTTTTTCTTACAAACATTTTAAAACCTAAATAAAGTACGACTATTCAAAAAAACTGTACGATATTTTGTCATTAGCAACTAATGCCAACCCAATTAACCATATCTAGATAAAAAAAAATTAGGAGTAGACAACTCCCATTAAATGTCTTCGTGACAATTCGGGGAACGTCGTTTGTGTTCGGCACGACTCTATGTATTTTTGCGGACATGTGGTGGCCAAATGCGTTTGCGCATCCATACCTATACCGATCTTTTGTTTCGCTCCAATCTCACACAATGCCGTTCAAATTTGAATGGTCTTTTTGTAGGCACATGCTATTCGCGTGTACCGAAAAAGAACGAGTTTGTGAATGAAGGGATTTATTGGGTGTGTTGAAAAGATCCCTTTCTTGTTAAGAAAGTGGAAAGATAAAAGATAAAAATTCACTGAAATATTGACACTGTCCCCACTTGTATAGGAAAATATTCTGGTAATTGACTTTAATGCAGTTTTTAACACAAGAGTGAAAAAACTAATCATGTTTGTATAAACCTTAACTGGTAGTTAATAATTTCAAAACTTAATATCCATATCTCTTTGAAATGTCAGTGCAAAAGATATACATATAGGCTCGAAGACGTAACACACATACGGGATATATGTACAACAAACATACTAAAACAAGGTTAGCTACGAAAATCTGACAGGAATATTAGTTGAGTCCTAATACTATAATTATTATCAGGTTTGCGACATTTGTGATGCTAACAATGAAGCAAAGAAACATCCACCGGAGTACGCAGTTGACAGCATGGAGACCTGGTGGCAGAGTCCGCCCCTGTCTAGAGGAATGAAGTACAACGAAGTCAACTTGACTATTGACCTCGGCCAAGTAAGTTTCTTATTCACCACATAGCTCTACCACTTTTTACGCTTATATTTAAGGTTAGTAAGCAGTGATCGCTATACAAAGACTTCTGGTTTAAATGTTACAACAGAATATATTGTGTTATAGATATAAAAATACAATAAAAATCATAAGTTCGAAGTATGGAAGCTGGAAATAAACACGGATTAATTAAAAAAATATTCAAGAATATTTGCCAAAATTTTGTTTTCTATTATCTTATGGTATCCTAGCGATGTAATTGCAAACAATAACAAAGATATATCATTCATTTGTTAAGTGCTTAACGGTCTATTGTTATGATTACGACGTACTTTTTATCTCTCTGATCCTTTTTGCTTTCTTTATGTTTACATAACATAAGAATACAAAATTGATTCTTTGTTTTACAAACCATTTGCCCATACTTCATATAACTTAAACAAAGAGCATGTTTTAAATCAAAAAAATAAGCTGCAGTTCTCTCTTAACATATTTATTACAACACGCAGGAGTAAATATCAATTTTGTTGTGAAAACAAGTAATTTTGTTCATGTGTTTCCGTCTATGCTGGTCGCAGTATCCCAGATCCCGAAATAGTGCCATTATACGATACTGTTAGATCGTTGAACCCAACGTTACCTCACATTAAGCTGTTAGAGACATTAAAGTAATAATAGACCAGATTTAATGACGACAAACTTCTAAATGTAACTGCTAACTGCTAAGCGTTGAAACTAATGTAAAGGGAAAGCTTTTTCAGATTCAATGATTTTACTAGGAGATTGATTTCCTTCTGGTTACATATTTGTGTGGGTGTACAATAAATACATACTGTCTGTATAGTTTTTGTAAGCTGTATATTTGTCAATGGATACTTATTTGAATGCCTGCTTAGCGAATTTTGAGATGAGTTCTTTATACATTTTAATGAAAGCGAAAGACAAGCGAAATTTTTGTATGATTAATTTTACTATCTTAAACCCGCATAATTTTGTTAAACCCTTATCCTGTACTACATTGCTTTGCGCGTAACTTATTAATATTTTTTATGCTTTTCTACCTTTATTTTGTACATGTAATATTTACTAACTATGTTTCTTGACATCTATACACCATTCCACAATTTATTAATTCCATAATGCCATAACCAGACAATAATCTAATCCTTGTATTAATAGCTTAACTGTCTTATACAAAAACTTTTAATGATGTTTTATAAGTTCCTTTCAATCTTCAAAACATCAAGGCATTTAAAACATGCATTATGCACTAGTTTAACTTTATTTGTAACAAATAAATATTTTTTGGTGAACATTTACGCAACCAGTGTAGTAGTTTCATCAGTCATTTCATGCGTGTTTTGTTACTCATACAGGACACTGTGGGCAGCGATAGCACACTACAGATAATAAAACTTTTATACCGTGAACTAATATTTAAGGGCGATGTTACGACGTCCGTTATTATACGGCAGTGATTAGATCAAAATAACAGTAGTTAATATTCTTTTTTTATAATAAAACAAAAACTAGCGTATAGCGATAACCTCATTGAGATAAACAGCGTAACCTTTATAATATTTAAAACTAACTATAAAATAATTTGATAAAAATAGTTGTTTCGTGATTAAGAACATTAATAATTAAGTAGACTTATAACTATTATGACAAATAAAGAAAACCTAGAAATGCTTCAGGAACGTCTTTAATTGTCTTAACACCTTAAATCTGAAAGTCTTAACAAACTTGATACATTCTGAAAATTAGCAATAGCGATCACTGCTTATAATGAATAACTTCACCTGTCTATAAGTACACCTGCGCTGTTATTTATTGACCAATCTAGTTTTATCTCTTTTTAGGAATTCCACGTGGCTTACGTTTTTGTACGAATGGGCAACTCACCTCGTCCTGGACTCTGGGTATTGGAAAAGTCTACTGATTACGGAAAAACCTTCAAACCTTGGCAATATTTCTCAGATTCACCTCAGTGAGTTTTCAAGAAACAATGCAATGGTTATTTTAAAACCAAACCATGTTAAAACAACTAACCATTAAAATATTTGATTTGAGAAAATAATGTTTGAAATTAATTTTACAGAGATTGTGAAAGATTTTTCGGAAAAGAGAGCTTGCAGCCAATTACAAGAGATGATTCTGTGATCTGCAGCACTGAATATTCCAAAATTGTTCCCTTAGAAGGGGGAGAGGTAGGACATTCTTTTATTTTATATCGATTTGGAGCTATTTCGTTGTTTGTATATTTCATGACAATTGTCTTACAGATCCCCATTTCACTTCTAAACTACCGGCCATCGTCTAACAAATACTTCGACTCGCCAGTTCTACAAGAGTGGACAAGAGCAACCAACGTGAGACTTCGACTTCTCCGAACAAAGAATTTACTTGGACATCTAATGTCTGTGGCAAGACAAGACCCTACTGTAACCAGACGAGTAAGTATATTAAATTCGGCTTTTTTTATATAATATAAGGTGGGAAACGAGCAAGCGGCCACCTGAATCCACCGAAATGGAAATCGACCGCTGCCCATACCCATCCGCAATTACAGATGCGCTGCCTACCCTTACGGAGGAGGAGACGCACATAAAGATGACATTTTCCTTTCTATGCGTTTCCTCCACCGTCAAATCCACTTTTCCTTCCCATCCTATCCTCTCAAGAAAATGGTGGAATGGGAATGGGACTAAAATTATTAAATTAGTACGCGACAATTAGGTGGAACCAAAGACATTTAAACATTTTATAGACTAGACACAGGGAACACTTTAACTATCAGACACCAGTTAGCGCTAGTGTGATTATATGAAAAACGTTTCAAGTGAAGTGTCAGCTATGCTTCTTCTATTTATTTTTAAATCTCTTTGCCTGGAACCAATTAATTTGATATGAATGAGGGTATGATAGAATATGTGTTAGAAATTTGTAAGAAAGTAAGTCTTACCTACTGACATAAGAAGTAACTTAATAAAATTTTATTTTTCTATGACTCAATAATCAATAATTTGAATTCTGTTTTAGTACTTTTACAGTATCAAAGACATCAGTATAGGCGGTCGGTGTATGTGCAACGGTCACGCAGACAATTGCGACCCTGCCGACCCCCAGAGCAACACCAACATCTTGGTGTGTCGTTGCCAACATAACACATGCGGACCGCAATGTGCCGCTTGCTGTCCAGGCTTTGAACAAAAGAAATGGCGCATATCACAAAATTGGAATAGATTCGCTTGCGAACGTATGTAATCGTTATTATTAATTGAGAATTACTGAGTATCTGAATTTGATTTTGTTTATTGTATTTGTACCTATATTACAGCTTGTAATTGTCACAATCACACAACTGAATGCGCTTACGATCCTGAGATTGACGAGAAGCGTCTCTCTCTGGATATCCACGGCAATTACGAGGGCGGTGGAGTTTGTAAGAATTGTCAACACAATACTGAGGGCATTAATTGTAACAAATGCAAACCAACGTTCTACAGACCTTACGGAAAGAAATGGGATGAGATCGACGTATGTCAACGTAAGTAACCTTCTTAAAAAAGTTGTAGCATTAAATATGTAGTAACCAGGATCAGCCCTAAGAAGGTCTTGTTACTATACGATAGGTTTTATTGATGATATACGGTGTACTTTAGCCTAAAAAAACGCTATTATCAAGATTTAACGAAGGGTAATTTGGGTAATGAAATAAAAATATGAACACACTGAATTACTTTCACATATTTGTTTCGTAGCTTGTAATTGCGACCTGCACTACTCTACGGGTAATTGTGAAGAAGAAACTGGTCGTTGTGAATGTAGACGAGAGTATAATCCACCGAACTGCGATTCTTGTGCCTACGGCTATTTCGACTATCCTGATTGTAAACCGTGTACGTGTAACTTGAATGGCACCGAGGGCGACAATTGCACACCGACAGATGGCTTAGTAAGTAGAACATTACATAATGTCTTATAATAAAACTATAATTTTAAGGAAGTCTTTGCCTAGATCGTATACGATTGTCCGCATATGTTCTTGAAAGTACATGTCTGACATAGAGACAAATTTTATTTAGTTTAAGTAATGTATACATGTTTGATTATTTTGTTATTTACAGTGTCCATGCAAATACAACTTTGCAGGAAAATCTTGTGAAATATGTCAAGATGGCTTCTATTCACCTGAATGTAAAAGTAAGTATCAAAAACATTGTGCGGTTTTAATTACTATTTGGTTTTAGATATAGCAGTCAAATTACTTTATCTGAGTGGCAATATCAATAAGTAACTTCCGTTTTATAAAATTGATACTGAATATCTTTTAATTGCTAAATTTATTACTACTAGTTAGTACATAACATTATTTTACAGATTGCGAGTGTAATTCAGTGGGTTCCGTATCCCACGTTTGCGACAAAGAAACTGGCAACTGTACTTGTAAGAGTAAATACAGCGGTCGCACTTGCAACCAATGTGAAGCTGGTTATTATAACTATCCAACGTGTAAACGTAAGTATTATTTGATTTTGATTTCTCTTCTGGTATTTGGATTACGATAACAATTGAATATTGTTTACTTTAGACTGCAACTGTGACACCAGCGGAACAGAAGCTACCATTTGTGATGACGTCAGTGGTCAATGTATCTGCAAAGATGGATTTGGCGGCGCTCGTTGTGACCAATGTCTTTCTGGGTAATGAATACACTCTTATTATTAACAAATTACAGTACTTGTTAGGACATGCATTGAACGGAGCCAAAGATAAATAAAAATTGATTTTATAATACAAACATTTATAATCAAGCACAGAAAACCACAGGCACTCGAATAAATTAAAGGGTCCTGCAAGCGAACTCCTTTTTATAAAACCTCACGCCTAAGTCGATGAGTAGGTTTTCGTAGCTTTGATAAAACGTGCTCGCTTGTTCGCAGATACTATATGGAAGTGAAAGGCCGTGAACGCCTCTGCGTGCCATGTAACTGCTCTCCTACTGGTTCCACCTCCACCAGCTGCTCCGCTGACGGAAAATGCAACTGCCTTTCAAACTTCGGTGGCAAGCAATGCGATCAATGCTCGCCTGGATATTATAAGTACCCTGAATGTTTACGTATGTAACTGCACCTTTCCATTATCTAGCTAAATATGATAGGTAAGAAATTAAGTAAAATACCTCTTTAACCATTAACACATCTATTGTGGTGTTCCTCCTTTAGCTTGCAATTGCGATTTGGCTGGTTCTATTGGTTCCACGTGCGATGACAACGGCCTCTGTCATTGCAAACCAAACTTCGATGGAGCGAAATGTGACAAGTGCAAGGAACAATTCTATAACTACCCCGCTTGTGAGGAATGTAACTGTGATCCCAAGGGTGTTATAGCCTCGTTTGCAGGTAATTTGTATGGATGCAAGACATTATTGCCTGTGTATTAATTTTATGAATTTGTAGACAAGCAAATACTAGTATTTTTGCAGAAATTGTTTGTAACAAACATAGAACATTTGTATTTGCTACCTTATTGCTGTTTTTTGCCTGTAATTTAGCTTACTCTCTGCTGAAGTTTATAAATACGGTTATTTATAGAATGTAACATTGTCAAAAATATACACAAAGATAATTGTACATTTTTTATTTTTTTTACGTCAGGTTGTGGGTCCGTACCGGCTGGTGAGCTATGCCAATGCAAAGATCGTGTGCAAGGTCGCATCTGTAATGATTGCAAAGCCTTATTCTGGAACTTGCAAGAATACAATCCTCTAGGATGTGAAGGTAAATAATTTAAGGTATATAGAAGTAGCAAAACACTTATGCCCATAATATATTATAGTTAAAAGTATTTTACATTGCCCGAATGGGCAGTTATATTAAATTGATAGAACTGCATCAAATTGTAATCACGACAGGGTAGCGGATTATGTTCATTTATTTTTCTTATTGATGTTAATTTTATTTACAGAATGCAATTGCTACCTGCCTGGTACGCTGGGTGGGTTGGGAGCGTGCGACACCCGCTCTGGTCAGTGCACATGCAAGATGAATGTCGACGGTTCTCAATGTGATCAGTGTCAAAGCGGCTTCTACAATCTGCAGAATAATAACCTCTTCGGATGTACCGGTTAGTTAATTATTACTTTACTTTATTTCGGCCTTATTATGAAAATAGTTGAGACTGTCGTCAACAAGTTTTGTGTACTTTCCATAATTGTTAGTACCTATCTCATGGTTTCCAGTGATTTTTCTGGTGAGAATCGTCTTACCCATAGGGTAATATATCATAATATAAGTACAGGTATTCTTAAGACCCAAGGAAAGAATTTTTACGACCAACTATATTAAAAAAGATTTTAAAGATTGTCTGCGTTTGATCGTTTTGTGTATTGTCTATTACCCAACAGTAAGTAATACTTTTGTTGTTTTCAAAACACACACTTATGTTGTAGAATGTGACTGTGACATTGGCGGTTCCATCGACAACAACTGCGACAAAAGCACTGGTCAGTGCCGATGTCACTCGCGCGTCGACGGCCGCCGCTGCGATCGCCCCATCCGCGCCCACTACTTCCCCACCCTCCACCAGTTCCAGTACGAAGTTGAAGAAGGTCTCACACAATCAGGTCCAGTCCGATACAGAGACTCGGAGGAAGTCTTCCCCGGTTATTCCTGGAAAGGATATGTCGTATTTTCTGTGTTACAGGTATTAAATTCATTTTAACACTTTCTTTCTTCAAATAACCTGTACTATTAAAAGAAAAATACTTTTAAAATATGCTTGATTTTCAGAACGAAGTAATTAACGTGGTGCACATCGGAAAATCATCTTTATACCGAATGGTGATTAAATACGCAAACCCCTTACGCGACTTAGTAACCACGTCAATTATTATAACACCAGAGAGCGTTGTCGATACGCAGCAAATGTGAGTATCACAGATTCATTTTTCGATTAACCTACTGTTAGTGCGAAACAATGTTATGCTATACAATGTAGTAATTGCCTAAAGAACGTTCCAGAAAGCAATAAATGTTTGATATAGGTGTTGATTCCAGTTTCTAGCTATACGCGTCGCTAGCATCTTGACTAGGTCTAGTAAAGAGGGAGGAGGGGGGATCTTCAATATGATCGAATTCGCCATAGTTTTTATACCTAATTACATTTTAGCCAAAACAATCGATTACGAAAACTGTAGCTATCTTACTCCCCACTCTCCCTGATGACGACCAGTTTCTAACTATAGCTACAATGATCTTAACTAGGTCCGAAAGATTTAAAAAATTAATTCCTCTATGTACAGGTTCAATGTATTTTTGCGGCCGACTGAACATCCCCAGCTAGTGACAGTAACGTTGGAAAAAGGTAACGCACCAGCACCGTTTGTAATGAATGCCGGCAACTGGACTGTTACTATCAAGACAACGAGAGAAGTTATGATTGTTAGTATTTATTACTGTCATATTTATTTTTAATACGATCTTAGAAAGAGCCTTTGTCGTTATAATCATTGACTAAGCGATGTACAGCTTTTGATGAAAATTAACATCAGTGGACAGTAAAATACAATGCTTAAAATAATAAAAATGTTTTTATACTTTAAATAAAACATATTTATGTGTGCATTTTCTTTACAGGACTACTTCGTTCTAATACCTGAAGCATACTACGAAGCGACTGTTCTAACTAAACTAGTTGACAAACCATGCGGTATTGGAGAACGCAATCTTTGTCGCCATTTTGCTTACCCAAGCCTCAGGGGACTTCCTACAGCTAATATAACAACTTTAATCACCCCAGTAACTGAATACGTCAACAATCCAGAGGTAACGAACATTTGTATTGTTCTTAATATCACCATGTTTTCTTTAAACTTGTAACTTTACGTTTGAAAGGCAATTTATTTTACTTCATTCTTGTTTTCAATTCAATCAGTTAAAACCTTTTTGCAGCAACTGAGAGAGTACAGCTTAGGGCCAGCTGATATCCCACTATTGATTAACGAACAAAATGAACTACAATACGACATGAAAATCGAACCAAGCGGCCCTTACATTCTTGTAATAGAGTACGTTACGCCGGTTAATAACACAGGAAGCCCTGGAATTGATGTGACTATATCGAATGTAACAGACGATAACAGTCCAAAAGGAATTATTGCAATTCGATTCCAAGCTGGTGATGGGCCAGAGACAAGTGCTATCGTGAATTTAAACGACTGTCCTTACACAGCTCCTTGCAGACAAGTAGTAGCGGATGACCTCTCTAAGATCATAACTGTGAATGTTATGGAACCAAACAATGTGATGTATTTAGAGGTAAATGTCGTAGTAGTACGTTTTTAACATTATCACATAAATATACCTACATGAATATTTATAGACGACATAAATATAAATTCTAATATGTCTTCAGGGCGACACCGATACTCTTGTGGGAATTAAATCGGTCGTAGCAATTCCTGAAGCCATCTGGCATCTTGATTATATCACACCTCGTCCATACTGCTTAAGGCGCAATGGAAAATGCAGTCCGGGAGTATTTGCGGCTGCAGTTGACTCCAAAAAGGTAAGTTTACTTTTCTTGTAATAAAAAGAGTTCAAACTCGTATTATTTAAAATACTTATCTCATCTTGTATTAATACCTTTTGTTCGTTTAACTGAACAGGTTGAAGTGGAAGCAGGAACAGGAGGTGGCCGCGATACTCGACCTTCAATCCTAGATAATTCAACATCAGTCGTTTATCTCGGTTCAACCTCGGAACCTATTAAGTTAGAATCCAAAGTACCTACACCAGGAGACTACGTCTTTGTCGTACATTACTTCCAGCCTAATAATCCAGGTAACGTCTTATTTTAATTCGTATCCACTTTAATACAAAATGACTAGTTACTTACACTTTTTACTTATAGTTTGTTCTAATTGTTTTTAATTATTATTTTTATATTAAGTCTTGTGTGGAATTGCATTTAATTTTGTAGAAAGCAATGCGGAAATTACTGTTACCATTGACGACCAGAAATACGAAGCCGCTTTACCCATAGAACATTGTCCGTCTAACTCTGGATGCAGAGCTCTGATAACGCTCACGAATGGAAACACGCAGTTTTCTGTCAACGAAAACTTCACTTTAAATTTCAAGGTAATGTTTTAAACAATCGTTTATCATCATCATCTATGCATAACTTAAAAGGCATTAAAAAATCATGAATATAGATCAAAAATCAAATCCTTGAAATTTATTTAAAGTTCGTTTAATTTCTACAGGATAACACAAGCAAAGGAGTTTGGTTGGATTACGTCCTTGTAATAGAAAAACCAGACTACATGGACACTGCAATTAAAGAAGCGAACACACTAGATTACACAAGAGAGTTTATAGAAAACTGCGCTATGAATCATTACTACATAAACCCCAATGAAACTGGTAAGTTTAAAAAAACTTTAACTGCTTATAGTCAGTCGAAAAAGCGGTTTAATAGTTAGCTAATAACGCATAAATTCGTATGACGACGTAACAATTTAGGAATGCTGTTTCAAAATTTGCCAGCGTATATAAACGTCTCATAAAATGTTCCTAATTTGAATTCCTCTACTGAAACATCTTTGTTAAAACATTATCTATTTTCTGTTAATCCTTAAAGAAACAGATAAGAGAGCTGTCAAAGGGTTATTACATACGTTTCGATTAGAATTGACTATGAATAACAACATCGATGACCACGAAGTTGGTTAAAACACCAATTGGTTGCGCACGCAATTCGGCAAGTTGCGCAGCATCACCTGTACTAACTTCACCCTCCCAAAAAGATATACCCTTAGGTTTTGCTCTCGACGAGATGCGTCTCGGTTCGCCCGCTCAGAAGAGTGGACGGATCGATCCGCGGAGTAAATACCAAATGTTCTATCCATTCTATTAACACGGTACGGCTAGATGACTTTGGGCATAATTTTGTAATAAACTAGACATGATTAAATCAAAAGTATGTGTTTTTTTTTATGAAATATGAATATTGTCAAACTTACAAAAGGTTAAGTTTTTTCTCTGATGTAGAGAAATGCCGTCAATCGGGTTAGATGTTTCAAATTAGTTACTACTTTTTTTCCTTAAGGTTTCTGCCGTGACGCAATGTTTTCCATCACCTCCGAATACAATAGCGGAGCTTTAAGTTGCCTTTGCGACTTCATGGGTTCTACGGAGCTGGAATGCAACACATTCGGTGGACAATGTCCTTGTAAGCCCAACGTTATTGGACGAACCTGCAGCGCCTGCAAAACTGGTTTCTACGGTTTCCCTAACTGCAAACCTTGCAATTGTCCTTTGACTGCCATTTGTGATGATGATGGTACGTAAAACATGCGGTTACAATAATTATTACGATCATACTTATCTTTAGATTAGTAACAAATTATTTAAAAATTAACAAAATAATTACAATACATTCAGGATTTTTAGTTTTTGAAAATTGTTAATAATAAAAATTAGAAAATGAAAATTCACTAATATTGATGGCAAGATACGCATCATACGTTTTTGATTATAGTAAATGGTTATAATCTAAAAAAATATATTTTTTAAAAAATATGGTTAAAACACACATAAATTAATTTAATACTCATTTTAATGAATCAGGATAAAAACCAATTAATTATATTTTAGGTCAATGTATTTGCCCGAAGAATGTGGAAGGTGATAATTGTGATCGTTGTAAGCCATTCACCTTTAATTTCGACGTGCAGCGCGGCTGCGATGACTGCAACTGCAACCCTCTAGGTGTAGTCGGCAACCAACTACAATGCGAGGCAGACAGTGGCAACTGCGAGTAAGTTAGGACTTTAAGCCTTTGAACATAAGATACATTTTTGTCTGAAGCACATACAATCCTTATTGATTTTCATAAACCTGGAAGTTGATGCGTAGCTGATTTCATCTAAACTTGCATGATATATTTCGTTGATTATTTTATATTTCAATTAAGGTTATTACAATTACTATCTACTTAAATACATCGGTAATCGATATAAGTTTTAATTAAGTAACTTTATCATCATCATACAAATTTGTATTATAATTTAATATTTCAGTTGTAAAGAAAACGTAATAGGCAGAACTTGTGATCACTGTGTACCTGGCCATTACGCCTTCCCTGATTGTTTAGAATGTTCTTGCAACTTACACGGCACAACTGAAGACGTGTGCGATCAAAACACTGCCCAGTGTTATTGTAAAAAGCACGTACGAGGTCAAGTAAGTAACAGAGATAAAAACAGATCTCCATATAGTTTATTTAACCGACAAGCATGCGAAGGTGTAAGAATTAAAAAGCGGGAAAGTTACGTCAGGACTTTGTCTGGTCGAAATTTTATTGAAACATTTTAACTTTCTGTGTTCATAACTAGCTTTCACTCGCGACTTCGTCCTCGTAGAAAAAAATGAATAAAAAACGAGTAACCTTTTTTTCCCCACTATCCTCTACGTCTATGCCAAATTTCATCGAGATTCATTCAGTCGTTTAGGCTACAAGATCCATCTAAACTTTCGTATTTATAATATTAAATAGTAAAATATAATTTTATTTTAGGCATGTGATACCTGTAAAGATGAATATTTCAACTTACAACCAGACAATCCCGATGGTTGTACAAAATGTTACTGTTTCGGCAAAACTACACGGTGCACCAGCTCATACTTGACATGGGCCGAGGTAAGATTTAATGACATTAATTTAAAATATAATTAAATCAATTGAACAATAAACAAATTGTAACTATCCTCGACTAAATACGTAACTAACTAAATAACACTATATTTATTATTTTGATACAGATCAGTGGGATGAGCGGTTGGTACCTAGTAAACATTGAAGTGAACCGCAGTCTTAACATTTTCCCCTACACCATTGCCCCCACTATTCTAAACGAAACCATAATAGGGGCTGAGTTCGTAAGCAATGGTGATGAACAAAAAGTAGTTTACTTTGGTGCCCCGGAATTTTATCTAGGTGAGTATTTTTAGATGGACAACATATAACTTTTACAATTTTGGTTGAATTACTTTCTCCAGTCTTCCTCCATTTTTGTAGCCGTCCACATTCAATCTTATTACTGTCCCATCATTGGCCCGCTTGTCAATTTCTCCTTCACTAATCGTATTTTTAAACTAACCTTAGAACGGATGCACACCTTTAAATAAACTATTGCAAAGTTCGCAAATCTTGTGCTATTGTCCATTGTTTCGCAGCCATTTCAACTGTTTAGACACACGACTAAAAATCAAAGCGAGACTAAACAGTTGTTCGATAGTTTGGTTCAGGTTTGCTCACGCTTTAATATACTAATAATACCTTATTGTCATATCATATGTCTTTTTACATACACATCTCAGCTAAATGAAATTTACTTTCGTTTTTAAACTTTTTGTGGACCAATACTCATATTCTAGAAGTATTATTTTCGAATGTCTTCTATCTGTGATATAACATCATTATGATTTAATTCCAGGACAACGTCTCACGTCATACGGAGGATACCTTACTTATACTGTTTTTTACACCACCCAAGACGAAGGATATGCTGTGATTGAGGCTGACGTTATTATTGGTGGTGCTAATGGATATATAGTACACAACAGTGTGGAGCAACCACCATCAGTCGTCAACTGGCGACATAGCGTCAGAATAAGCGAAGATGAATTTACCAATCTCGATGGTAGCGCCGTAACCAGAGATCAATTTATGAACGTACTTGTTAATGTGACCAGCATTTACATCCGGGCAACCTATTGGCATGAACCTGTCACAACAAGGTACGTTGTTTTTTTTTTATAAATATTCAGTTGCTTACTGACTAACGTTATAATGTAAAGTAAATTAACTGTTTTGCTCTTGTTTTGTAGTATTAAAACTTCATAACATTTACAGATTGATGAGTGTGAGTTTAGATGTCGCCGTGGAAGACTTTGCTGACGGTAGACAAGCTTCATCTGTAGAAGACTGCCAATGTCCCAAGGCGTATCGCGGTCTGTCATGCGAACAGTGTGCTGAAGGCTATTACAGACTTAGCACCGGACCCCATGCCGGATTCTGCGTACCATGCCAATGTAATGGACATTCAAACACATGTGATGTTAATACTGGTATTTGTCTAGTAAGTTGAAACACATTTCTTAAGGATTGACTAAGCTTAACCCATTATTATTTAGTAATGTAATTTTGACGCATTTTGGGAATTACTTTTTTAGGAATGCACAGACTACACGATGGGAGACCACTGCGAGCAATGTATTCCAGGTTACCATGGCGACGCCACGGTCGGCACTCCTCACGATTGCCTCATCTGCGCCTGTCCAATGCCCTATCCATCTAACAAGTACGTTATAACATCAATTACATTATAGTCATATTGCACTATTATTGATCAACACATAGTTAATTAATATTTAATTAGTTAGTATACCTTAGACAGAACTGAGAAGTGGTACTACTCGATATATTTGTGCATCAATTTTTTTAAAATAATCTACAAGTCAAATTATCCTTTTTAGCTTTGCCATTGGCTGCGAATTAAGCGGGAATGGTTCTCTAATATCATGTGATTGTAAACCTGGTTATGCTGGCGCAAGATGTGAATATTGTGCGGCAGGATACTATGGCATTCCCGAAAATATTGGTGAGTTATACAATCACTGTACACTTTGGACCTTAGATGAGTCCAAGGTGTGCGCCCCCTTTGAATAAGCTATTGCACAACTGTTGTGCGATTGTCAATTGTTTTGCTGCTATTTCCACCTCCATATAGTTAGTGTCATAGAAATAAAAGCGCCACTAAACATTTGTGTGATAGTTTAGTCAAAGTTTGTGTTCTTTTAAAGTATCATTTGGCCTACATAAATGATCTTGTCACTTAGACCACTGATAAGTTAAAAATATGAAATCATGCGTAAAATGTTACATTCCAGACGACTACTGTAAACCTTGCAACTGCTCGGGTAACATCAACCCTAACGATCCTAGTTCGTGCGACAGCATTACTGGTGATTGTCTCAAGTGTGTCAACAACACAGCTGGAGCCGCCTGTAATCTATGTGCCCCTGGCTTCTTTGGTGACGCTATATTCTCTAAGAACTGCACAGGTACACACTTTTAATACCATTTCCAGGCTCTATTTTCTGTAAATTACATTAAAAAAATGTTATGATCAACACAATTTCAAAGTTTCATCTAGATCATTTACTAATATCTAATAGTACTATTTCAGTGTAACCTTATCAATTATAATGGTTGCATACTTTTTCAAATAAATAAGACAAAGCATATAAAGCGGTTTGGTATGCACACTCAATTATAAATTAAGTTTAAACCTATAAGTTATTTTTTTAATTATCTTTAAAAATTATTATCTAGCCTTTGGAAAAGAATAAAATTGTTACCTTAATATATTATTTATTTATTATTATTTTAATGTCTGTCTAGGTTAAGTCACCCTACTTATGTGTTAATACTCATGTGTAAAGGGGCCAGCTGAAAACCAGCGCAGTAACATCCTGCGCCGTCCCTGCATTAGCTGAGCTTGCCACCTTGTGCCACATTTTTCTCTCTTTTTTTATATTAGCTCTAAGGTTTTGTATATTAAATGTTTATGTAGTTTTTTTGTGTCAATAAAAATTCTATTTATTTAATATGTTTATTAAAATAAATTTTCTCTTGTACACCAAAACGTTACGTAAAGTGACGTTAAATAATGTTTATATTTACAGCGTGCGTGTGCGACGAGTTTGGAATGGAGCGTTGTGATCCCACGACTGGTACTTGTGTATGTCGGCCGGGAGTAATTGGGGACAAGTGTGATCGTTGCGCGCCCGATCACTGGGGCATTAACAGCGGTCAAGGCTGTACACCATGTTCCTGCGCAATTGCCTCCGAGTCCTCCCAATGTGATGATAATACTGGACAATGCAGGTACATAAGAACTAACGTACCAATGACAATGGCGAAACAAAAGTAGAGATACTAATCTTACTTATTTTAGATGTGAAATTTTAGATTTGTAACCTAAATGACTTAACCAATTTCGACGAAATGTAGTATAGCTGTAGAGATCTGGAAGGACACATAGACTACACACTTTTCTTTTTTTTTAATTCTAAGCGCACGGAGTTAGTTAGTACATAATATATGGTTTTCACGGTGAATGGACATATCTACAAAAATAATTGAATTTGAATTGACACACTTTCTGTTAACAAATTCATTATATGGCTTGAAAACGAAAGTTTACCTCAATCTATGAATGTTCATTATTTCCTTGTTTTTGAATTTATAGATGTGCAAAAGGAGTAACCGGAAAACAATGCGACCAATGTGCTGCTGGTTACTGGAACTATACCAAATCTGGATGTGATCGTAAGTTTTTATCTTAACCAACGTCAATTTTTGTATCGAATTAAAAAACTAAAAAAAAGTTGATTAACATCTTTCTAAATAAGCTAAAAATTCATTGTTGAATTAAAATTATCGCTTTTTGTAATTCTAAGTGGTGTTCAACGAGAGTTAAATTATTTTTTTTGTATAATACATCACTTAATATAAAATTTCAGATTGCAATTGTAATACTGGGTATTCCCTTGGATTTATGTGCAACGCGACTGGCCAGTGTGAATGTCTTCCTGGTGTTATAGGAGAAAAATGTGACCGTTGTCCTGAAAGGTAAAATTACTATTTATAGCTTGACCAGAATTATAAAAAGCCTTGCTTTTTGTTGAAAAATGAGTAACTATTTTCTTTCACGTCAGAAATAAAAAGCCGAACGAAGCACAGGGCAGGATTTTTTAATCTCGGTTAAATTTTAACTATTGCCACCACTGCCATAATACTTACATATTTTAAAACTTATTGTCACCCCTTTCTTTCTTTTTGAAATAAAGAGTGTCTGTTGGACGGTTACTTTCCCCCGTCCGGGGCTCTGGAGGTGTGGGGCTATTGAAACACTTTCTTCTAGTTAATCAACATTATATTTAAAATATCTGAACCATATTTTATACAAAGTCTATTAGTCCTACAATGTTACTTGTTCCGTGTCGAGATGTGAAGTCTCACTATATTTCATCAAATGTAGAATTCTTAATAATTTAAATTATATATTATTCTAATATTAAAAAAACCATCCTCAGTGTGTACAGTGTTGCCTGCCAGTATACAAACATATAAAAACTCCAACAGTGTCAATCATAAAAGTGTCACAGAAGTTTTATAGTTACGATTTCTGACTATGTGACTTTTACAACTATAGGGTTTTTGCAACTTTTCATTTTTTTGCCAATAGATGGGTGTTAATTCCACATGAAGGTTGTCTCGAGTGTGATTCGTGTACCGATGCTTTAATATTCTCCATAGAAGACCTGAGCTACATGTTGTCCAATGAAAGTCTAGAATTTAAGGTAAAAATGTTTGTTAACTTTGTTCTTAAAAAAATTGTATTCATTTTTAAAGTTTTGCAAAATTCTGAAGCTAACATAGTTGCGCTAATAGATAAATTCGAATATTTACATCTCTTCCAGGATAAAGCAGACTCATTTTTCACTACACAACGATTGAACTACATTTCTAATCAAACTGAGCAACTAAAACCCAGGGTAACAGAACTACGTAACGTCGATTTAGTCGAAGTTACAAGTGCGGTAAAAGCTCTGGAGACCAGTTCTAAGAATTTGTTGAGATCTGTAAGTATAAAGAGTTACTATTTAAAAGTAATGTCATTTGCGAATAAAAACTACGAAAATTGCCATGTTCGCTTAGGCCGAGTTTGCAGCCACCGATAGTGAAAATCAGATTGGAAGGGCTGCAACATTAGCTGCAGATGCAGATAAAATGTTAGCATCGGTTCGAGACAACAGTCAGAAAGCTAAAGAAATAGTCACACACGTCAGTGATTTGGCAACGGGCCTGGAACTCAGTCAACAACCTAAGGTCGACAGTGCCTTAGCCGAAGCTCAGCAAATTAAGAGCGATATTTCAGGTAAGGCTTGATAACCACGAATGTAAAGATATTTCTTTTCACTTAGATTTATCCTTCCACGTATCTATTTTCATTTTAAACCAATAATTTAATGTAAATCAACAATTCCCTCATGCTCACATTTATTTATTTCAGCCAAAGATCTAAAACCAAAAGAAGAATTAGCAATAAGTGCAATAAACAATGTCGATAATCAAGTAGAACGAATGAATATTTTCGTCCAGCCTGTTATTGAACAAACAAAGGTATTATAAAGAAAGGTGTTCCAATTAATGGCATTCTGTTGAATTTTAACGCTAAATGTTTCATTTTTAAAATTACAGAAGTTCCAAAAATTAGTAAACAAAACGAAAGACTTGAAGGGAAAATTAGACGAGATGTTACAGCACACAAATACTGCGCAGAAAACTGCTGATGAAGCTAAGATATTAAATGATAAGAATAGGTCAGTGCCGTACAATAAATCTTTACATTTTGATGATTACACTAATCTAATCTATCAAAGTTGAAATAACGAATATTTTTTTAGAGAATCCAAGTTTGGAAACAAAGTTTTGTCGGTTACCAAATTGAATAGTGCAGCTATGAAAGATCTAATTGATGCTGCTTTAGATATAAATAACGCTACATTCTACAATACGTTATCTGGAGGTATTGTAAGAAATTCTTCGAAAGCTTTAGAAGATTTAAACAACGGTAATCGCGAAATTGAAGAAATGCTAGCATTGTTAGAGGACGATTTTCCGAAGCTGATAAATTTGACTGATGTAGCTTTGCATCATGCACAAGGGTTGAGAAACAGGGTAAAAATTTAAAAATTGTATTAAATGTTTTTATTTATTTTAACAAATTGTATGACTTATTTATATTCCATCATAGAAGTTTTATCGAAAAAATCATATGATTCCATAGGCAGATAGTCTACGTGCTTTAGCAGAAAGGGAGAATAACAACACTAGAACACAACATGCGTATAGTGCAGCCTCCGCGTATTCATCTATAGTACAACAAATAAGTGACGCAAAAAAAGCAGGCGATGAGGCAGAAGCATCAATTCTAAACGCCACGAATATTGTAAGTACAATAGCGATTAAAATTTAGTGGATACACTTTAGTTGAAATATGTAACAATGCCCACATTTTGTTTCAGAATAATATTCTCCATGAACAAGTTGATCCTGCAAAGGAGAAATCAATGAAACTGTCAGAAACTGCATTGAGTGCTCAACAGACCGTGGAAGAAAAGCTAAGGCCTAATCTTACCCATGCAGAGGAAGCATTAAAGGAAGCTTGGAAGATCCTTGGCGCTGCAGATGATGAAAATAATGCAATACAATTGTAAGTTTGTGCTTATTTATCTATCTGTGATTATCTGGTTTTTGATAATACATGCATTTTTAAATATCCCCTTACTCTGCAAATTGTTTTATTTACAGGTCTCTTCCGATCAGTACATCAACTTCTTTGGAAGCCGAAACTCAAAAAGCATCTAAAGTAATGGAGACTGTCAAATCCACGAATAATATAATGTCGCAACTTGGAAATGATCTTGCCTCCAGTAAGGAATGGGCACAATCATTACCAAAAGTGGCTGACGATGCACAAAAAATGACATCAAATATTAAAAACTTAGGTATTTTGGATTATTAAATCATATAAGGGTATTATACTATTATACTTCAAAAGTACAATGTATTCTATTAGTTGATTTTTTTGCAGTGAATAACATCAAAGATATGGATCCCAATATTTCTTCGCAGTACCGTGTTGTAAAAATGAAACAGGAAAGTCTTGAACAGCGTCGCAAAGAAGCAGACGAAAGGTTGCAAAAATTAAGAGAACTTGTCGAACAGGTATATTAAATGTTTTGACATAATTTAATTAGGCGTTTAAAACAATGCTTATACAGGAGTACGTGATATAATTTGTTTTATTTTTCAGGCTCGTACGGTAGCCAACCGAATGCAATTCGGTGTGACATTCGACCGTTGGTCAACTCTACAACCGAGACTTCCTGATACTGTGGACGAAATGTCTACATCTACTCACGTATCCACATACTTCCGCACCAAAGAGAAGAACGGATTCATACTTTACTTAGGCAATCCAAAAGATACAATGCTCAGGCGGACAAAGTCTGTAAGTTACAATATTAAAGTCGTTTTTTGTTATAGGAAACATCTAGTCGTTTTTTTTTATTACGAAGGTAAAAGTAGAAATAAATCTATAAAAACCACTTACATGTTGCCATTTATTATCTTTCAGGATGACTTTATGGTAATTGGCATTCAAAATGGATATCCGTATGTAGTAATGGACATTGGCGACAATGCTGAAGCTGGGAAAGAACCCACTAAGATTAGCAGTGACAAATTTGTCGCCGATAGTAAATGGTATCAAGTCATAGTTGACAGGTAAGAAACATAATTTGACCCCTTAGGAAAAATATTTTTCACTTAAGTAATATCCCATGTCAGGGAGGGCGAACCATTAATACGAGTGCCATTAACAGCATGCAACAGTTCTTTGGACATGAGGAGCGAAAAGTACGAAATGTTATCAATAGTCACAGTCAAAATTATTTGATGACACGTCTTTGACCTATTCAAATATCTCTTAATACAAATGGCACGTGGATAGGTAAATGTTCACCATCCCTATCCCATGTGTGAGGTATTTGAATCGTAATCATTGCCAGTACGAAATTTACAAAGCGTGTTGCTTATAATGTTTGGTGTACTAACATTCAAATTAATCAAATCAGATCAAGTTATCATATTTATTTTTTAGTTTGCATCGGGAAGTTATCTAAAAAGTGATATATATTTTCAGAGTCGGGCGGAATGTCAAATTATCCATTCGCGAATCATTGGGCAATGGCACGGAATACGTACATTCTAAGGATGCAACTTTACCAGGACAACACACTATCTTCAATTTGGACAGACAAAAATCCAAACTTTACGTCGGCGGCGTTCCATCTGATGCACAATTGCAAGGTGTCAGTTTCCCTGCATTTGAAGGTCAAATAGAAGAACTTATGATAGGTGATACACCTGTAGGACTCTGGAATTTCATAAGTGCTGATAATTTGAAGGGAGCAAGACAGAGGTACATAATTTAAGGTTTCAAAAACGTCTTTATTAGCATGAAGAAAACGAAACTGTTGTTATACAATACCTTTCAATTTTAGAGACAAGTTGATAACATCACAAAGCGGACCACAAGAATATCGATTCAATGGACGGTCTCACGTTACAATGCCAGGTAGAGGATACCTTGTACCACAGAAGAACCACGTACTGCTCTTCTTCAGAACCTATGCTCCCGATGGACTAATATATCTTGTAGGAGAAGGTAGTCACTTCTTCTCGCTTCAGATGCAAGATGGACGTATTTACTTGCAGGTAAAATATTTTGTAACTTTATTGATTCAGTTACCTTCTTCTTTTACCAAATAAGCACAACATTCAAGCCAATTGGTTTACATGTATTATTTTGTTTGCGGTGTTCCTATTACTACTATTAAATATTCTTAACTTTTATAAATAGGTGTCTCTCGGAAACCCTGACGATCTCACAATAATTGGAACAACGAAGGCTTACAATGATGGCAAATGGCATAGGCTAGATGCTGGAAGATATTTGACTACATGTTCACTAAAAGTAGATGGCGAAGTTCTTAAGACAGTGTCGACATCTGAAACGAAAGAAATCCCCGATTTAGATACAATGAACTTTGGTGGTAATAATAAAGGAATTATACAAGTCACTAATAAAGGATTTGATGGTTGCATTCGACAAATTAGTATAGATGGTGTAAACATTGATCTAAGTGAAAATATGGAGTCGGTCGGCATAGCTTATGGCTGTCAGGTAAACTAACTACCTTTTAAAGACTATTTTAGTGATGCCATTGAGTTTTGTCTATTAACTTATTACTTATGCGTTTCAGTTCGCCTCACTTGTCTCGCTATCGGGCGAAGACAGTTATCTACGCTATGTTAACCTTACAACGGAAAACTTACAATTGACTTTGAAATTTAAAACATCAAAAGCGGATGGACTTATTTTTGTATATTTAAGTAGAACACAAACTACTACAATGTCAGATAGTATATCTTTGTCATTAATTGGAGGTAAGTTATTGTTAATTAAATGAATAAAAGATTGCTTTACTTCATTTACATATGAACTTATAGTTATTGCATTTATCTGCATTATACTTTATTATTCATAAATATAATTATGATGTTACAGGTAAATTGGTGCTGATGAGCCAACGAGAAAAACTTGATACAGGTCTTGGTACATACAATGACTCTCAGTGGCACGTCGTGACCGTGACGCACAATAATCAAGCATTGCGGCTCGTCGTGGATGACTTCGATTATTTCAGGTAAGGTGTAAGAATTATTCAAGTTAAGGCAAACCCGCCTACTTTGGTTGAGGGTACTTGGGCACGTCTGCGGTAACGATGTGTATATATGAGTTTACAAAGAATAGCCGATATAGCACGTTTCAGAAACTAAATGTTCCCAAGAAAATCTTTACAAGCTCCCTTCTACATTTTTACATCTGTAACCTTGATCAGATTACCAGTTCATGTAGTGAGACGTGGTTCAACACTCTAACCATTATTATTCTTCCATTGCCTTTACAGTACTGACACAGCGCCAGCTCCACTGCACATTTTAGACGGGGTGTTATTTGTCGGTGGCGTGCAACCTGGATACCTTGTCGGAGGCAAAGTTGGGTCCAAAGCACCTTTCCAGGGTTGCATTGCAGATGCTACAATAAACGGCAGGATGCTTAACCTGCTAGAACCATTCAGCAATAATAGCGTCATATTTGGTAGATGTGGCACAACAACTACAACTGGCGGCGTGCCCCCAGGTATATTACTTTTCGCCATATCCAATTCCCTATAATTTACGAACTTGTTTCTATCATTTATTGATCTATCTTTTTAATAACGTCCTGGTTTGACTATCATATTGTTCTAGTAAAGTACAAATCAAAAGATACAGTATTTTTGTGGTTATGATGATGAACAATAGCGCATGTAAAATTATTTTTGAACAGAATTAAAAAAAATGATACACTTGAATGAGATGATGAAATGAGAAACGAGTTCTTAACTAACAAAGTTATTAACAAAGTTTTCCTTATTCCAATGGATTATATTAGATCGCTTGATCTGGGCGGCACCCGTGCCAGTCGATGTGCTGCCCACGCCTACGTCACTGCCGCCGTTGGCCACACCTGTTCCAGATATTGTAACTGTTAAAGGTAAATAGAAATTATTTGTTGTTTTAGGAAGTATCCAATAAATTCAACCACTTTCATAATTTTACTAACAAATTGCTTATCCTATCTTGCTTAAACAAAACAGTTCGTAAATGAAAGGCAATGTTTGTCTATTATTACAGTTAATCCAGAAGAAAATGAAATAATAACAACGACGCCAACTGCACCACCAACTACAACTAGAGCGCCATTCAAGATAACAACGACAACTGTCCGACCATCCACCACCACACGAAGACCTCCGCCCAAGCCAGAGGCCGGGTGTGCGTTGGCTTATGATACACACTATGGCTTTGGTGACCCCTCGGAAGGATATAGATTTGGTTCGTTAAATAATAAAATTATTGTTAATTACAGAAATACCAAGATTTTTTTTTGCATTTACACTTGGTAATTCTTTTTACTTACTTACTGCGTTGTCGCAGCGACCCAAAGTATGTCTTGGCCTCCGACACGAGAGAGCGCCAGCGTCGTCTGTCCTGCGTCGTCGCCTGTTTATTAATTGTTTAATTTCTTTTTACTGTTAATTTTATTTAAAGTATAATTTCAATTGCAGGCACTCGCAATGACAGTCGCATAGAATACTCCAAGTTGCCAGGCCGCCAATTGGAAGGGTTCGACTTCACAATCACCTTCCGTACGTTCGACCAGCACGGCGGCCTTATTTTCTACGCCGAAGCGGATAAGGCTCCTGGCCAGTTCCTTGCGTTGTATATGAGGGATGCAAAGGTATATATTAATAAGTTAGTAAAGCTAGAACTTAAATTCTGAAAACCAACTTGATCGTGTTTAGGGCATATGTAACCTAGGTCAGTGATTGATTAGAGCGTACCACATTGTGATGCTAGATCAGTTCGACAAGAAGATTATGACAGTTTTTGACATTCTCGGGGGGCTCTCAAGAACTTTTTGGAATACAAATAAGATTTTTCTAGACTTTTTTAGTATGTTTACATGGTAACATTTACCCAATCTCTCATTGGTCAGAATATGACGCTGTCAAACCATCAATGTCACGATGACATATTTTCGTTTGTCACAACAGTCTTTACAGGGCGAACTTTATTTTGAAAGTTATTAAACAACGAAACTAAGCTTTTTGTAGGACTAAACCACAAAATTGATTGGTTTTAATTAACTTTGTTTGACTTGACTTTATTCGTATTATAAATTAAGTAAAAACGGCGGTTGTCTCAAAGAAAATTAGTTCGAAACGTTTGTTTACAAAACGGAATTAGTAATCAATTTGTGTTTATTTCAAATTCACTATGAAAATCACAAGAAATAGACAATAATCATACATGGGGACTTACAAGCAGCACAAAATATCGAAAGACGCTATGGGTGAAAGTAAAACGCATAGTTCAACCTATGAATACACAAAGTAAAATATAATTATTTTTTCTAACTTGAGTAATTTTATCCGATTTAATGCTATGTTTATCGCTAAAAATCGTGGAAAAGCTTAATTTATTTTGAAGCACGCCATTTAATGTGTAAATATATTTATTTCTAGCTTCACTTCACATTCAATTGCGGTGGAGAAACTGCTTTTGTACAATCCACACAAATGTATAATGGAACAGAATGGCATACAGTGACTGTAGTCAGAAAGGAAGGTCATGGAAAACTAACAGTTGATTCAGAGCGCATTGGGGAAGCCAGTGTTACATGCATATCACCAGCAATTTTAACACCTCCATTCTATTATGGAGGTCTTGGTAATTTGTCTTCTGGTATCCGCCAGAATCTAATGGTACGCATTTTTTTGTTATTCTCAATAACCATAAAATATGCTTCAAAAGAACACAAGACAGATATATCAACAATTAGTCTTATTATACAGTTATTCATACTGCTAGCTAATGCTATCCAAAGTCCTACCCTGACAACTAAAATGTATTCAATGCAAATTTGATTGTTTACCTTGTTGTTTTTTTTTTAAATAATAAAAGGTGGCAAACAAGCAAGTGGCCAACTGAATCCACTGAAATGGAAAGCAACCGCTGCCCATAAACATCCACAATTGTAGATGCGTTGCCTACCCTTCATTGACGGAGGAGGAGACGCACCTAAAGAAGACAATTCCCCTTCCTATGCGTCTCCTCCACTGTCAAATCCACTTTTCCTCTTAAGAAAAGGCTGTATGTATGTAAATGTAAATGAATTCATTTGTTTTATGCGCAGGACTTCTATCAGCCATTCAAGGGATGCCTAAAGGGACTAATGATGAATGGTCAGTATGTCACTGATGTTATGTATCGTGTCAACTCGTTGCGTTGCACTGACAACATAGAACCTGGAGTTTACTTCGGGCCATCTAATAATGTTCACAGTAACTACTTGAAGGTGAGTAAAAATTAAAATTACATAAATAACATATTTAATTAAAATTTTAATATTTCCTTTAGATTGTTTAAATTTTTATGTTGTTAGTCGTAAAATATGACATTTATATTAAAGAACAAACTAACCTTTTTAAAATTCCAGTTGCTTGAAAACTTCAAAGTTGGCTTTGAGATTTCCATCTCAATGGAAGTGAAGCCACGGAATTCCACGGGATTGCTGCTGAGTGTACATGGCAAGAGAGACTTTATGATCCTAGAGCTATTGGAGAATGAGGTTATTGCCAATGTTGAGAATGGAAAGGGTCCCTTCCATGCCAGTTACAAACTTGGCAACAAGTTTACACTTTGCGATGGAAATTGGCACAAAATTCATGGTAAATATACTTAAAAATCTCATACTACTCATAATTTCCATCCTGCCGTCATGTTCTATTCATATCATATTAATTTAAATGCAAAAGATGTTTTGATAACATCAAGTAAATGTCTTTCATAAATATTGATATCAACAATTTCATTCCAGCTGTCAAATCTCGGCACGTGGTTTCCGTTGGTGTAGACGGACACTTCTCAGACGCTGGTCTAGGTCAGTCTGGATCCACAGACACTAGATCAGCGCTATACATCGGCGGACACGAGCGGCCCATTTCAAAAGTTCGTGGAGTTCGGTCCCGACGTGGCTTCACTGGTTGCATTAGGAACATCGTCATCAGGGAAACACCAGTACAAATACCTCTGACTGCTGCCGGCCGTAATACCCATGTTGGTGTCTGCCCAACTGATTAACTCTTCAAACCATCTCTAAACCTAAATGTATTATTTTTTGCTAGATCACATTAAATTACCAATTAGATTCTTAATACTCTGCATTAAGTGACAAAATACGTTAATGTAACGATCTGAATGTTTAACAGTATAATATATCCAATCTTAAACCTCAACTGTATAAAATTGTATTTTTTTTTCACTCTATTAAAATTATCTATTCTCACATTCTATTCAGTGTTTTATTTACTACGATAAATGACCAAAATCAGATATCAAATGGAAAAGATATCTAAATATAGACGTCATTATTGCTGGCGACGCCATGTGTAGTATTAATGAGATCAATGTATTATTACCGGTTTAATTTTCATAGTCACAAATTATATGATAATAAAATTATCAAAGAAAGAAACGCACAAAATAGAGTTCGATGGCAATCGCAAAACTAAAGAAGACTTAGATAATTCCTATTCAATTTATCAATTGACATCATCAGCCTGTGTCCACTACTGGATCATATACACGCATGTGACGACTTCCATCCACACTAAGTACTCGGTGTTCCTGGTGGGAGGACGCCTCTCGGTTCTACTAAACAGTGGTCTCCATTTTTATAGTCCCCCATTATCTCATTCCATATTTGATTTTCCTATTAAAATTAAAATAATTTTAAATGTATAGAGGTGCTCATTATAAGTGTTAAAGTAGAAGTGACGTATTTAATAACTTTTAAGTTATTTACTTTTGTCTCCATCATCAACATCTGAAATGAGTGCAAAATGTAAACATAAGAAACAAATATTCGTACATGATTATAAATTTACTACAATAAATAAGAAGTAACGATAACGATGTACTTAATTTCGATAAAAAAAAGAAAACTTCCCCAGGCGCCATTTTCTTATCTATATGTACTTCTAATGCGTCATGTGCAATTTAAATTTTTAATACGTTTGAATTAGAAGCTACGAATAACATTAAGAACACGACCAGAGTGTTATGCGATTATCCGACAAGTTACGACCGCCCACATTCTAATAATCCAATCATGTGCAAGTGATTTGTTCGAACTTCACTGGGTCACATTCTCACAGGTATGACCCGTACTTACCTCCAATACATCTCCTGCGACGTGTGTCAACAGCAGTTCGTTATTATAAAAAGTCTGCGCTGTCAAGAGGTAATTATATAGATAATGCATTGTTATTGTCTTAAATAATTAATGTCGGTGTTTACGAGAATGTTGTTTTAACTAAAGGTGTTATATGATTAAGTTTGAAGGCTCAGTACAAATGCGCAGTAAAACAACGTACCTAAAAAAAAATGATTTGTAAAATTAAGGTGTAAGTAATCCTTATGGGTATATTGTTATAGGTTTTTACTAAATGATATATCATTTTTAAATGTGAGCAATGTTAAATAAATTTTTTTTGAACTTACTTTTCTTGACTATTATTTACAGCTTTTAAATAAAACCTACTAATTACAATAACTCAAATAAGATTCAAGTTAAATTATATTCTTATTGTAAAAATAGGTAATGTATGAAGATACATTTGCGACATAATTTCGTGTCTTATTTCTAGTCATTCTTATTTCTAGTCAGCTTGTTTATAGCTCAGGTCATCTTACAGAACTCTATCATACTCGTATACTCGTAGGTATGCAAAACAAACGGCGCAAAACTTTATGCTGATGCAGCTGTCCAGTAGACGTGTAGCTTAGTAATGCGCTCTCTGTTACGTTAGAGCTGCTTATCATTTTAGGTTCTTTTAATTTCATTGTCGTTTTGTTAAATGTAATAAAGGTAAGTGTTAATAATAATACTTACTAGAGTCAATAAAGACATTTAGAATTGTGTCTCGTCCCTCAAATATAATGAGCACTTCAGACGTATAATTTCAATTTTCGTTTTTCAACTGCACATTCATAATGAAATGGAATGAAATAATACAATCTACAAAAACATTCTGCAAAAACTTACTAATCTGTTTGTTCTTTACAGGACTGACTCACAAACATCCGAATAACTTCAGAATCGTGCGCAGTGCGAGCTTGGAAATATGAATTATTCATTACAAAATAACCATGAACTTGAAGAATTCCCACTTTACTCACTCTTTTCCAAACAAACTACGTCCAGAATAGAAGAACATAGTGAAAATCAAATGAATCTGCCTCGAAAATTTATTCAAAACGGAAGCAATCGATCATCAGCGAAATTAGCGCCAATCGGGACAGGTCGCCCGTCTTCAAATCCAAATAGTTCCGGACAAATTTATACAAATATGGACTTAGTCAGAACATACCAATCAATACAACAAATGGAGAATAGACAACGTTTTTTCACAAGATCGACCCTTGCTAGCTCCGGTCAAATTTTTACACCGTTTAATCAAACCCAGAGGGCTTATCTACCTACATCTGAGGCACATCAGCAATATTACCCTGTAGGAATCGTACCTAGCCAACAAAACAACCGTTACGGAAGTACCATATCTAACGTAGATCAAGTTTATAACAAAAATACGACCGCGTGGACACCATTACCAGTAGATGGTCTTCCTAATCTTTTCGTAAGCCTCGAACAGAGTCATTTATACACATGGAACCTTCAGCGCTACGTAAACGGAAAAGCTATTCAAGGTTTTAATAACAATACAAATCAAAATGTTATTATTCCACGACCATTTCCAGAAGGTATGCTAAACATTTCTTTGATCTTATTATTCTGTAGTTCAAGTTTATCCTTCAAAAATATCCTTTATCCTAAAATGTGAAAAAGTGAATTGAGTTAAAATTTCACCTATAAGTAAAGCTTCATTGCTTTGTCGCTCATTGATATTTTTGATCGACTTCCCAAAAGAAAGAGGTACACAATTCGTCCGTGTATTTTTTTATGTATGTTACAGCATTATTACGCCGCTAGTGGACTGATTTTGATTTTTTTTTAATCCGGAAGGTAGTGCTTGCAGGTGTGACCCATTTTTTTGTTTGAATTTTGGGGTCAAAGACTACGACTTAGTTAAATAGTTTAGCTCAAAATGGCGGGACGAAATTTGGGGTCTTTTTTGCTTTCTTTGCTTAAGCAGCATAAACTATAAGACTTACATTAAAATGATGTATGGAAGAATTGTATTCTTTTAAATTTGCTAAATTTAAGTTTAACTTTTTCATTAAAATATCGATCGAAATATCTACCCCACTTCCAACGCTATTTCTCGTGTTTGGTATGAATCCTTATCTAAATAAATTTGTCCATCATCAAGACAATTTAACGTATTTTATAAATGCCCTGGAATTAGATCATTCCAATCAATAGTTTAGGAGATATCATAAAAACAAAATTACGAGTCGCAGAAAAAATTACCAACTTGTGAAAAAGTTTGCTTTCTTGGCTTACATAGCCTAAACTATATAAGACTTACATAAAAATGATATCTTAAGATTGTCGAACAATAACCGTTTCGCAAAAACCGTCAACTAAATGCAATCGACTTCGTTTAAAACGCTTTTATTCTTATTTGGTACTTATGTTCAACCTATTACCAAAAGTATTACTTAATAGTAATCTACGTAATAACAGAAATGTACCGATGTAAGATTCCAAACTTCAAATTACGTTACTCACAGATAAATTACCTTTCTGATGATGGAAGAATTTTTAAAATCGGCCCAGTAGTTTTAAAGTTATTTCATTCAATACTCGTACATACAAAAATACAAATCTTTCCTCTTTGTAATATTAGTATAGATGAATCCTCATCCAAATAAATAGTAGTAATTTTACAATATAGACATAACAGCTGCAATAAGGGAGGTTTACTATTTTCAAGGAATTATTTTCTTACTATTTAGTGTATTGTTTTTTTGAGAATATTTTGTTTTAAGGATATAAAATGTTTCGTGGCAGGTAGAAAAAACAAGTTTAAATTTAATGTGCTTGTTGATTTAAATGTGTACCTCAAGTCCAAATTAAATGCTCCGGATAACGCGACATCACAATAATTTATGTAAGATTTCCTGTTACTGGATTCGCAGTTGTTGTTTTACTAACTTGGTACTTTTGTATAACAGGTGTTAAAAGTCAAGGTTTCTTTATATATAATTGTCGCAAGGGTTTGACATAATTTTATAGATATCTACATATGTTTCTTATAAACAGCAATTAACCCATCCTGTAAGAGCTTTTTAATTTCATGAATTAATAATATGTGGTGTGGTTTTTATTTTAGCATACGGCGCCATTGCAAATTCAACGCAAGCAATAGACGGTTTCTCTAGGAGGGCAATAGATGTTTTGCCAGGGCAAGTTCCACACGGCTATGGTCCTACTCCCAGGCAAGGCTATAGTCAGGTGCCAAGGCAAGACAATGGTACCATGCCAAGGCAAGATTATGTTTCTATGCCAAATCAAGACTATGGTTCCATGCCAAGACAAAACAATGGTCTTGTGCCAAGACAAGATTATGGCTCTGTGCCAAAACAAGACTATGGTTCTATACCAAGGCCAGACTATGGTCCTATGCCAACGCAAGGCAATGGTCCGATGCCAAGGAAGGACTATAGTTCTATGCCTAAACAAGACTATCGTTTTATGCCAAGGCAAGACTATGGTCTTATACCAACGCAACGAAATGGTCCTATGCTAAGGCAAGGTTACGGTTCTATGCCAAAGCAAGACTATGGATATATTCCAAGGCAAGATTATGATTCTATGCCAAAACAAGACTATCGTTTTATGCCAAGGCAAGATTATGGTCCTATGCCAACGCAAGATTATGGTCCCATGACAAGGCAGAACTATGGTCTTATGCCAAGGCATGACTATGGACCTATGCCAACGCAAGATTATGTTCCTATGCCAACGCATGATTATGGTCCTATGCCAAGGCAAGATGGTGGCACAATCAACATTGAAGGCAACAATCATAATGGCAATAAGCAAACGATGCCTACTCAACACCAAATCCTGAATCGCGAGTAAGTTTTCAACAAAATTATTGCAACAATTTCGAATTACTTCTAAAAGTGAGAGTAGTTTCTTTGACACAAAAAGCAATAATAACAATTATGCAGATAATCTTACACCTATCTCTATACAATTGCAGCTGGGCAACTGAAGGCGATGCTGAAACCAAAGATTCGTACAAGAAGAAAAAAAGAACACATATTTTCTACAATAGTAATTATGGACGTCGTCGTACCAACAACAATAAAAGTTAGATGTTAATGGTTCATATACAGGGAGTATATTTCATTTACAATATAATTTTCAACGTTTTAATGTTGATATTTTTATACACCAAATAATGTTGTCAAGGTATTGTTTATATACAGTTTATGTCTATGTTTATTAAACAGTTATTTTTACAAGATGAATTAAAATAGTTAATATTTAAACAGACCGTTTTATACATACTTAAATTTATTATATTTTTACTTTTAATTAGTTGATTTACACCTACAAATAATTTTATACAGTTCTTTTCATTGTTAAATATTGTTCTTCAATTTGCTAAGTTCCTAACGCTACGAGGCTGCTACGAAATATTGTGCTTGTGAGATGTTAATCAAATATAACATATAGTTATAATTAAGATATGCATTTCTTTTGTTTCATATTAAATAAAATAGATTACCTAAGTAAACAAAATCCTATATTTTTTTAAATGAAAAATACAAAAAATAATTTCTTAAGATACCTAGTACTATAAGAAACACTGCATTTGTTATGTATTAGTGAGTATGCTTTAGTTTACTTAACTTTACTTTATGATATTCAGTTATGATTGTATTACGCTCCATTTAGTTGCCCTCAAACGCTTATTTGATAAAACATTTTTATGATAAAATAAATGTTTATACTAATTAAGTATTTTATTTTTATATACATAATTGCCTAATTTAATATACATGAATCGTTGAAATGTGAAATTAATCAATTATAAATATTTTGGTTTTAGCTATTATTTATATTGGTACTTCGTTTTATTGAGGACAGTTGAAATCTAAGCGTAATGTTGGAACATAAATACAGTATGTTGCTTCGATGGTTCATTTTAACGCAGTGTAGATGAGTTGACATTGCCAGGCTAAACAATTGAATAAAAATGTTTTCAGTCAAATATATAAAAAAAAGTTCGTTAAAAGAAACTATTGAGATTTTTACTGTCTTATATTAATGTATTCCTATAATACCATTTTTCAAGTTTTTACTTGAACTTTAACTGAAAAATTCTAAAGACAAAGAAAACTTCAATGCACCATAGACAACATTTTCAGTGAAGTAAGTTTTGAATTTTGCATGTCATCTATCCATAATTTTAGTTTTAAAAGAACAGAATAAATAAAATAATTTGGAGACGCCTAATATTGTAAATATGTAACCAAACATTAAAAAGCGAAATATTTAAAGAAATCTGAAGATAAACTAATTATTGTAAAAATGTTTCAATACTTCTGAAATCTTAAATTGGAGTTTTACAAAAGTTACATGAACATCAATTTGTACTAAAATCTTGAATTACTACTGGCGATACCCAACAACGTGATCGCTTATTCTCTTTGAAGAAACAAAAGGAAGGTCACGTTTTTATAAATGTGTTTAAGCAGTGGAAATCTACACGAAAAACAAACATTACCATAATAAGTTGTGGTTGTGAAATTTATTCCATCAGATACTTATTTTTGCTGTTTTATGTCACCCTTTAAAAATTAATTCCCAATATTGAACAGAATTAGTATTATTACAATAAGACAAAATCCGAAATACTTTTAAAATTCAAATTACAAATACTGTCAGTAACTTTTTGTTAATATGTACAGACCATTGAAAAATATATTTCAGCTTTCAAACTTGCAACATTATTCGCGTTTATCGATTTTTCCACTCGATATAGAAAATCATAAAAAATATACAACTTCATAAACAAAAGAATAACATACAACTAGACTTCTGAGGCTAACTTATAATATTCAATATAATTCAACATAACAAGCATTACAACATATTCATATGAAGCATAACATGTGAAATCGGTCTGCTTAAAAAAAAGGCAGTCCGCCACAAATCAATGCAGCTCCGGACCGGGACGCATGCGCGCCGATTGCAAGGGGTTCTCAAACAGAATCTAGTACTTAGGCGCCCTAAAACGTGACCTGGTCAATACCTGGGAGCAGTTCGGTATTGTCTGTTGAAATTTACAGTCGTTTCAGTCGCTTACATCGGAACGCCCATGTAATTTATTCAGATTTCCCGTTGTTAGTTTATAACAAATGCGGTGCGATATTTCGCAGTGATTCGTGTTAAATTTGTGCAATCGGAAAAGGGACTTAAAAGAGAAAACTGATACAAGCCTTCGCGAGCTGAGAGAATGAGTGGTAAGTTAAATTCGTATTAAGTCCTCAGTATACTATATTTCAACTATTATTTACTAACTCAAACCTAAGAAAACCCAAAATACATATTTTTCTAGAAAATTTCAATAACAATATGTTAGTTTAGTATTCAAGTACAACAAAGAGATACAGTATAGCTAAGTAATTCGGAATACTTTTTTACGATTACTGAGGACTTACTTCGAATATGGGTAAGTATATCTTTTTTTTCAGCACTGTTTGTTTTTTTTTTGTATTTTCAGTATCGACGTATGATTGAAGAAAAAACAAAACAGTATTTTTATGTCTGTAATTCGCTTTAAAATAATATTCAAAGCGTTTTTTGACGAATTTACAACTATGTATGCTGTATATAGGTTGTTGAATAAGATGTACTGGAAACTGGGACGGATCAATACGCATCAGGCTCAGTACGCCGCCGCGGCGCTTGCAACAACAAAGGAAATGTCGGTGCATTTGCACCCTTTACGAAGCTTAAAGGGCAAAGTTCAACTATTTTTTATTTAAAAACATTTCATCATCTTTTATTAAAGTACATTAAATTGCAAGACATACTATGATGAAATTAGCCTTTATCGAAAATTATCTTTGTTTTTATTTTATCGATTTAGGTGCCATCAAATATTAAGTAAGGTTTTTAGATGTAACAACAATCTGGCTGTTATTTGAAGAATAAAAAAAATATCTTAAACTAAAATGCATGGAAGACAGAAGTATGCAATATAAAGGCGGTAAATATGGAAAAAGCGGTAACGCGCAATATGATCACGCGATGCAACACACATAAATAATGCAGGAGCCACAAGTGTGATTGCGACCGTGAAAAGCAAAACATCGTTTTATATAATCATGACTGCTCGTCACATCCTTTGGTAATCCATAAACAAGCTCTACATGAAAAATTGACTCCGCGCTTACCCATAAATATTCTTTGAATTCAAAGTTATTTTTATCTTTCCTATGGACTTAGTTCTTAAAAAAATTTTTACATGCATCGATAAATAAACTGAAAAGTTTGCTTCAGTATCTTAAAATCCGTTCTCACATTCCAAGACTCATCTACGACTTAAATACTTTATCCCTCGCTATGGATTTATAATTAAATTCATTAGAACGTACAAAATAAAAAAACTATCGAAGAGGTCAAAGTTAAACTTTAATATTTTTTTATTATTAACTTAATAATGAATTGGAATGTAAGGCGTATCCTCTGGAAATTTTAATTTTCACACATGCATTAAAATGCAGTCGCATTTAAATAACTTTTTCACATTTAATGAGTTTTGAGGAAGGACGTACGGAATACTATGTACACTGACATATTATGATTGTCGCCATTTTTACTGGAAAACAATATGAAAAATTTACTGCATTCCGATTTGAAGAGTGCCCGTAATGAAATAACTGAGCGATGGAGATTAGAGATGTAATCTGTCGAGGGACGAGAAAGGTCCTTTGTGTAATTGCTGCTCACGGCAATTTTATTCCGTTGTTTTGATTTAAACAAATGATGTATAGAACTTAAACTTAGGAAACTTAAAGATGCAATGACATCTGAATATTTAATGAAGAAATGAAACTCAAACAGACTTAAAGTAAACAACAGACTCAAGATTGATGCGCCAATGGCCTGATATTAGTAGTACTTTACGGACATTCGGTCAGTAGACATGGGTTCGAATCCCAACATTCAAATATTCTCAAGAACCATAACTTAGCCTAGAGTCTAGATCTAGAATCTAGTCAATACGAGACAAGAGACATCTATTGGCGGGATTCAACTGTCGAAAAACCTATACAAAACTATACATATATCTCTCATGATCGATGACGATATGTTTTTATTGTAAGAAATAAAGTTAACACGACTTGTTTACAATTTTGACAATAAATGCGCATTATTAAATAAAATGAATCCCTCCCGAGCCCGACACTGCTATAAAGCAATATTAATAGTTGGTGTACATTTATTGGTTATCGAGCTGCGCACAATCCCCGCTCCCGGCGCGCCAGTTGCATTCACAGAAGAGCACGGCAGAACGTTCGACGCTTTTTCATAATTGGGAGCAAAATATTTATCGACCCTTTCATTGGCTGAAGTATGTTACATAAATAATCATTGTTGTCGTTTAAAGTGTTATTATTTCAAAAAGTGCAAATATATGATACGTTTTGATTCGAAAATACGTGACGGCCCGGTTCCATGTATATTTTTTCTTAAAGTTACATTTTGTTGCAGACCGCGGTAGGATGCATAACGAGCGGCATCGTAGTCGCAGCCACGGCCATAACAGCCGCTGGTCCGGTGCGGCTGCGTCGCTGGACCGCGATCGCAATGGCTCCAACTACCATCGCGTGCGTAGACCGATACCACTGCGCCCCGTCAACCCCAGGAACGGATTACGTGGAGACGTCTTCTACGAGGGCCGGGAGAACTACCACCCGGCTAGGGCTCCTGTGCGTCGTGCAACGTTCTACAACGGTAAGTTTTTATAAAACTTGATGTCATATGAATATATTATGTTTGCGTGCGACAACTGCGCACAAGGGGGTTTAAATGGCAATGTATTAATACGTGCGTAAACAAAACTCACTTTATACGAGTATGTGACCTCCAAACCTTACAGACAACCTTGATCTTAACAAAGATGTTGTTGTTCCATTTTTGTTTTGTCATGTTATCGGTCATATTCTTTTCCATCATTAAACATATTTTTCTCCATTATAGTTTACATACAATGTTTAAAAATAAATAAGTTTGTTTAGTACGTAGGTATCCATAGCTATATAAAGTTTAAGACGTATATTTTTAAGAACCTTGTTTTTTTTTTTTATAGCGAGAACGCATTTCAATATACAAGTACATATTCGTATAAGTACTCTGAGCTCGCACCCACCCGATCAATTGATCTATCCATGTACAACACAAGCTGCGGTTCTCGACGCTTGCGCGTTGCGCTTCCAGGTCCCGGAGCGTCCTGCTTCGACGTCCTAGACCTACTTTTATACCTAGAGCGATTTAATATTCTAGCGCGTGCGTTACAACCTACTTTCAACTGGTCAATAAATTGAAAAAACATGGCGCTGGACTTTGATTTATTTACCATAGTTAAGCTTTTATGATACAACTTTAATATTACTGGAAACGTTTGTTATCTTTGATGACGAATTATTTTCTGAGACGATACTTTGGAAATAATGGACAAACGTATAATAAGGTTAAATTATATTTAACTCGTTTTAGGGCCGCGCGCGTACCTACTTTTTATATTTAAACACGTATTCAACGTATTGTAATTCATACTAATATTATAAATGTAAAAGTTTAGATGGATGGAAGGACGTTTGTATGAATTTGTAGCCTAAACTGCTAAACTGATAGTCCGGAAGAACACATAGGGTACTTGGTTTTGTTTATTTTAAAACCACACGGACGGAGTCACTGGTGAAAGCTAGTAATCTATATCTTCTATCTATACATATAATAAATTTGGAGTATCTGTTTGTAACATCAAAAAAAAATTCCAAATTTCGGGAAGATTATGTATTTGCGTTGCTGAAAACGCATTTAAAAAATTTTTGTTTGTCTATCTGTCTGTCTGTCTGTCCGCAAGCCGCGTTTGTTCCGGGTAATTTCCGAAACGGCTAGACGGATTTCGATCGGACTTTCCCTGGAGGGTAGCTGACATAGACGGTCATATAGACTACATTTTTTTCTAATTCCGCGCTTTCAAAATGGCGATCGGACCGCTATCTCTAGAACGGGTGAACCAATTTGGACAGGTCTTTGAACAGAAGGTAGCTGGTAGAAGGTGGATACACGCGGGAATGTAATAGATGACTTTAAAAAAAAGGCGCTAACGAAGTTTGCAGGCGACAGCTCGTCATAAATAATTTTTAATAACCGCGACTAGAGGTCGTAATAGATCATAGGAATCGTCATTGAGTGTTAAGAAAGAATACATTTAAATTCTGTTGCAATCCTAATCATTCAATTTATATAAGTAATTGTCAATATAATCTATGTTTGTAGTCTTGTAAGTTGGCATTCTGAGTCATATTCCCGGTAACTACCATACCAATGGAACAATAATGCGAGAGAGCTGATTCAGCGTTAGCAGAACCACCTGCTGATAAGTTCGTAACAGTGTCTGATATCATTCAAGCGAATTCGTAAAGCTTACACGACAGAAATGATATATTACAAATCCATCCAAACTTAATCATATTCATTTATGATAACTATTATTTATTATTTAAGCACAGGGTTGAATTCGCTAAACGAAATCAATTGGTCGGTAAAAGTACACAATTACAAAACTCTCATATCCTATACTTGATTATTAAGTGCTTGTTTCTTTATAAATCAAAAAATAATTAATAGAGCTTAGTTAAACAATGCATTTTGATATGAGTTAACATAAATAAAAGTATCTTTTGCAGCTGGAAACTACATGCCTGGGCTGAGAGAGGATGATTTTAATGGTCGCCTTCAAGGACCGCAAGGAAGGCAACGGAGATCAGGAAGTGCACATGGCGCAAGAGGTGCATTTGGAGCCGGAGGTGCTTATGGCGCAAGACCTGCATATGGCAGAGGAGCTGAATATGACGTTGAAGACGCATTTGGCAGAGTACCTCCTCCTCCATACGGCGCAGGAGATGCATTTGCCGCAGGAGTTGCATTTAACACCGGAGATGCATGCTGCGCAGAAGCCGTATG